TTAACTAATTTTACTTTCGAATAAAACTATCGAATAATTAGGTTCACAATTATAGTTAATACAATAAAAATAAACAAAACACTGTTTCAATTTCGAATTGGTTTTGAAGTTACAAGCGGTCAAGGGGGTGGCAGTTCTATCTAGAACTACATCAATATAAGTTTAGTTTACTAATATATTATAGCATTATTAATGTTAAATCCTTCTTAATACAAAATGGCGGCACTTTCATAGCGAAAAGCGATACATGATCCTGATTGAGTCTCCTGAATCCTGATTAACCTTTTGTCTTCGATAATAGATAGCATAACATAGATATATAATATGCAATTATTGATGATGAAGCCGTGTAACCAAAGCGCTTAATTACAGGACAAGTAAGCGCAGTGTGCACCTCCTTGGGTCAAGTTTCGCGGTGAAGACGCGCGCGCGACTGCACAATTTTATCAGCAACCTTCCAACTTTCAAATCACAACAATGTTGCAAAACTACTCTTGGTACTTGTTTACCATTCATCTAATAAGATTTGAATATACTGTAACGGTTTAAAAAGCGATATATATTAGCCTGGGTCGCCTCGTGACAACCACTACTGCAAAACATTCAAAATCTCAAAATATTTTGTAAATAAATTTAACTAATACATTTCACGTTTTTAACCGTAAAAGTGTTTTATTTAAATGTGTACTAGGTATTCGTGTAAATTACATACAGTTTTTCTACGACAATATTGGTACTGATAAACAACAAAACAAAAATAAATAAACAGAAATCGCGACATTACTTCTAGATACTATCTCTACTACACTAATATTTATAAAGTTCGATTTTTTCACTAAATATAATGTGCCAAATGTTGTTATGCTAAGCATTAAAAGAGCCATTTTCCCAAAATGGGAAAGGGAACAATTTCTGTGTCCGTTCTCTGATTGTCATAACAACAAATAAGTAGATAAACATACCCTCACTAATCTAAATATTTAACACACGCGTGTCCCCCAGAATCGGAAACCATACCAGTCGCAGTACAAATACGTAGGTAAGCATACAACTAAACCATACAGACAAACAACTGCCAAAGATAATAAATAATATACTGTATTATCTAGTATAATTTTTTCGTTAATTATTTCAATACTAAAAACTTAATAACCTAATGATATACGAATGTTCGATATTGTGCCCTGAACCTTTGGGCTATTAATATCAAAACGTAGCTACCTCACTAATTTTAAACGCTAGGATATAATTTATTAAATTATCAAAAATTATATTCCGGTAGTCAGTGACCAGTTACGGTGTTTTTTGTTCGCTACCCAAAATGTGATCCAAAAAATAACGCACGCGACACGCGATCCTCTTCGTCGTCTACAAAAACACATCTAACAATCAAATCTGGTCGGCTATCGATATTAAATAGCTATAAATTATGAGAATAAGTATAGAACACCGCAGGGCTATAATTTAATTTACCATTTATGTCCCGAGGTGGTTCTATGGACAAACACTTTTTGCGATTTATCTATTTGACCACTAATAAGGGAAAACGCTTAGTAACGTTTTAAATCTCTTTAAATATTAAATACCTAATTGTATACTTGGGTGGTGATCGAAATAAATTATAACACAAACTGTAAATGTATTCGAATAATTTTAAGATAACAGAACACCTATTTAAACATATTAAAGATTATTTCCCTTTATTATTTTTGTTTATTAATATAGTATAACTTACATTTATTTTTCTACCCCGTTACATAGGCTATTTCACAAACAATGAATATTAGGCATATTATTACTTTAAGTCTGAACTGATAACTGTTAAATAAAGTATGTAGCGACCTCTTTAGGATTTTCTATAAAACAAATGTAATTTTATATACGCAATAGAAAGAATAAGTAACGCCACCTATCGAAAATAATTGTCACCTTGTTTTAATAACAGTGCCATCTAGCAGAGTTACATCGTACTACTTAGCATAAACGAATTGGTAATATTTTGCAAGTTTTACAATAAAGGTGGAGCTAGTAATACAAAAACAGCTTTTCATGTGTTTCAAACATTGAATTCAAAGTAAAACTGATGATATATCTTAAACACGCAAGTAGGTTGGAAAAAATGCCATTCGACAACTCATATTGTAAAATACCTTAATGCCAAAACCTATGCTATATATTATTTATGGCATGAGATTTTAATTACTACCATCGTTACAACATGATACTACCATACACTATGTTCTAAGGTTTCATATTGTATGGTTTCCATGTTTAGAAGGTATTATTTGGTATCCATGGTTCTATCTGATATTTACATCTGGCAGTCTTAAAAAAATTACAATAATCCCATTTGCGAACTATTTTAAGCAAGCTATATTTATAGCACATACATATTATATAAATGCGTTCTCTATGCACATTGAATAACCATAGAGAGAATACTATTATCTGTGGCATAAAGTTGAAGATAAATTAATTTTCGATTTCTTTTTAATAAGGTTCTCACAAAGAAGGTTTTAACAAGGAGGTATTATTATCTCCACCTTGAATAGCGGCAGCATAAGTAAATTTAGAGTGCCCGTGGTTTGTACGGGGCTTCGAAGTAGGCCATCGAAAGCTCTTGTTATTTATATTTAAGTTGAGGAACCATTAATCACGTCTCCCTCCTCATCCATTATTAAAAGACTTATTACTGTCGGTACCTTTACCTTTTATAAAGTTATGTCCACCAAAGTTTATTAAGAAAAGTAGTCCCTGTAATGAAAGTTTTTGCAAACCACTTTTTGTTGCACCTAGTCTTTCTTCAAATTGTGAAGTGTATTGTTCTTCTTACAAAACATTTACTAAGTAAATAATTTATTTTTCTTTTCTTTACGGAATGGTTGTCTGAAAAAATTGCCTCGCCATACTTAATACGTACCAATTACGCAAAACGTATTTTAAGCGTATTTTATTTGTTTATTATTACATTAAATCCAATAGTTAAAACACGACTAAAGACGTTTAGGGGTTTTATAATTTCAATAAAAACAAGTTATCTATATCACAATTTAATGGACAAAAACTTGTAATGCATTATAAATATTCATATTTATTAACTAGCCAAACTTCTTAAAAGGTATAGTTTTTTAGCTTTGCCATCCATTGAAAACCGTCGAAGATGTATGTACCAACGCTTTTAACCTCGTATATATTAAACCGACGATAATATGTTTGGCAAAACTTACAGTAGGTGCAATTAGATATCGCGCGATTTTATTAATTACGAATACTACGCGCTTAGCAGAATACATTTTTATTAAGATGCAAGGAGAATCGTATTATTAAAATATTTTTCGAAACGTGGTCAAAATTCAGTCTAAAGACATTGATAATAATAGCTAGAATTGAAGAAGACAAGTGGAGTTATTGTAAAATGGACTCCAAAAATTAAAAATCTATTTAGATTGAATAATTTGACGATGCGGCCGGGACATGAACCGGCAACCATCAAACCAGTTAAATTAACGTGTCAGGAGTTTAATTTATTACGATTTTTAAAAAATCTAAATAGATAATTAATTTATATACTTAATGCCTTCATGTGCATGTGAAAAATAAAATAAAGTTTATAGACTTCAAAGATGTCTATAGTCTATAGATTTTGAATAGAGCTGCTTTAGTCAACAAAGGGATTACAGTAGTTATTATAATTTGGTCTTTTCAATGTAAACTTGTGATACATTAGCTAATTAAATCTTTTTTAATTTGTATACTTTTGCAATTAAATAGAGTATATTTCGATTTTATAAAAACATTTAATATAATTCTTTGGAATGATTATATTATTAATAATGTATATAAAGATATGCAAGACAATTTGTAAGATTACATCTAGATATGCGATTAGAAAAATAGTAAGTAAATAGAATTCTACAAAGTCAGAGAGGGTAAAATTTTATTCATAATATCGAATGAAGTTTCACACATTGTAGACGACGTTTTTAATAATAATTCTTACGATATAAGGGCTTTTCCACTGAAGTAAACATTATGTCAAGTTTTCAGATTACCCTTTCTGACTAGGATCTTCATAATATTTATTATTATTACTAATTTCTTTTAAATATGTATTATTATAATATAGCTTCTTATATGATCATTAATAATTATGTATATAGATTAAGTTTAGAAATAATTGAGTATAAAAATATTGCAATAATATATAGAAGTTCTTCATCCAGGGTGCCTAACATGTCGTTGTAGGAGGTTCTTAATAAAACAAATGCAGACTTGCTTGTGGTTACAGAATATTACAATAGATTATAGTTTTATTATCTTGCTTTTAGAACACCCTGGTTTTAGTTTTTAAATAATTTCATTGCTCCCATTCTTTAGCTGTTACGTCAGTATAAAAATAACGTGCAACATGTTTAGAGCGCTTCAAAACGTTACGAGCGACTTTTATTTTAAGTATAAAATTGACGATATAATTTTTTATCTCTTTCACTTGGCACCAATTGATAGCTTACCGTAGAAGTTATGACGAAAATAATGCAATATCCCACAAATGAGTAAATAAGATTTTTACCTCTATTTATAGAAATAAGAATTGATCTATAGTAATATCTAAGTCACTCTATATCTCAAAATGCAAGCTTCGCGATAGATAAAAGTATGCGATATTAGATGTTACAAAGAAGTTAGGCTCTACAAAACAGTAGAAGATGAGACCGAATATCTACTAGCATGCATCTAAACTACACGGCACGAAGCTTATAGGCGAAAACGTCGGCAGTGACCGCTCAAATATCGCTTTCCAAAAGACCGGGTCGTTTGGGCGCCGAGCGTTCTATTAGCGCAATTTCCTCCGGTTCCCCCGAGCCGCCCGCCCTCGGAGCGTTAGCGCGTCGATTATCAACCGCTTTCTTGAAGTCATCGTCAATTTTGAGTAATTCAATTTCGACACCGATTTCGTCTTTATCGACCGCCGTCCTGCTCGGATAGCGGTCGAGCTCCTGTCAGGTCGCCTGTATTTCGGCGAGTTGATGGTCCTCCTCGTGCAAGCTCTTCTCGGCGAGTCTGAAGCTCTCCAAGAACTCGTTCAGGTCGACGAGGCCGTCCTTATTGATGTCCATCAAACGGCATATGTCGACTAATTGCTCTTGAGTTAGGGGATTAGGCATGTATTTGCCGATGAGTTGGCACGCTTCCGAAAACTCTTCGAGTGTAATGTATCCTGTTATGGCGAGAAGAGAAACATTTTTATAAGATAGGTTAAATAATGTCTGTAAATAACGCGAGTAGTACGCATATAAATAAAACACTTTAACGGTTTCATACGCAATTAAAACTTATTTTGAATTCGAAACGTCGATCCGTAGTTAAAATAATTCCACATACGTTTAACTAATCTATATCGCATTTTAAACCGTTAAAGTGTTTTATTTACGTAGGTTATAACAGCTTTCTTGTGAAAGGCAAAATAGCCCAGCCTAATGTGCCAGACGTTTAAAATAAAGCACGAATGAGCTAAACCAAGTTTCTGAAATGTTTTTAATTTGGGAATCAATTCACTATATAATATTTAACGCGAAAACGTAAAAACATCGTTATTCCAAGTGAAATAATTACTAATTATCATTTTTGGGTGAATATGAACTGTATAAATATGTGTATTTTCTTAAGAATAGTCTTTCGTGCCGAAGAAAAATGATATCGTACCTGAGTTGTCCTTATCCAATATTTTAAATATCGCTTCCAAGCTTTGTTTGTTCTTGTAAAGAGTCTCCGCGACAGTTTGTGTGTCAGATTTTCTTCCGAACTTCTGAAACAATAGTTGTTTACAATTCAATTAAAAGTAAATATACGTATATGTATGCGTATACATATGTATGTATATTTAATAATTACACTTTTCGATTATATTGCTTAAGATGCTAACCGGAAGCATTGGAGCAAATATAACAAAATAAAATGTTTCTATCAGTCTGTAAGCTTAATCAGTGTAATAGACAAAATAATTATGTAGGTATAAGTATTTCACGAGAATTATTAATATATAATATACACGCATTTCTTTCTAGAGAATGGTGGGAGAAGATATGCTAGTGGCGAAGCTCTAGTTTTCGAGCGTATTTAACTATAATAAGTCTATTGTAATAATTTTTGTAAAAAATACACGTTAAATTTGTTTTGCATGTACGCATACGCTCAAAGAGATATCTAATCTCTTTAGTTAATTAGTATTATCTTAATTATTGTATTTTAAAGAGTCCTTTATATAAACAATTTTATCAAATTAAATACGATAATTTTACGTCAGTTTCTTTATAACATATTATAACTTAAATAATTTTGTACTGTATTGTACGGTTAAAAGAATTCGACGATGACATGTAGGGCACTTTAGCTCAATTGATTAGAGCGACAACACGGAACGCTGTGAACGGAATCCCGGTTCAAATCCTGCCTGTGTCCTATTTTTTTTTCAATCTAAAGTCCATTTCTAAGTTATAACGTAATCCTACTCAAAGGTGTTCAACGAGCAGAAGATATTAAAAACTTCAATATTTTTCTCATGATGGCACTATATAGATTAAAAATCATTAAAAAAAATTACGACACGGCAAGCCTCAAACCGGACTTGACACGGTAGCTCGATTAAAGCAACAGCACTGAACGCTGTTGATGTTGGTACAAGTCCTGGTGGTGTCGTATTTTTTTCCATCTTTAATCGATTTTTTACCTAATCCGACAACTTTTCATCAAATAAAAGTGGTTGCAAAAGGCGTCTAAAAAGTTACGTGTTGATATTTCCTTTTATGTACGTAATATAATTTTCCAGAAGTAAAAGAAAAAATCGGATCAGCACAACTGTAACTTACGTCTGACATCAGAATTCGAAAACTTTACCTTTGTATAGAAACTTAGCGTTGATACCGTATATTCTTTCAAGAGAAAGTAGCGACCCCACTCAGGATACATTAAATTATATTTGCCAAGTAAGATCAAAAGACTAGGCTAAGATCTTTTATAGTTTTTATGATGTTAGTCGCAGCGCAGTGTACATACTTCAATATATAAAGAGTAAGATGAAGGACTAAAATTTAATAACGGTTTAAAACGAGAAATATATTAGTTCTGATGAAGCAGGCGCGGTTCCCGTGTGACCTTGGTGACAAATGTATATACCACTAATAGCACTTATGTATACCGTGTTTTAAGCCGTTAAAAATGTTTCATTGTATTCTGTACTAGTTGCGTTAAGTAACAATGATTCATTATCTTTATGGCTGCGTTTCAAAAGGTAGATATTTAGTTCCTCAGTGCTGAGGAGAGTACAGAAATGTTTTAGAGATAAGGTTTTTTCGTGTTGTAAAAAATATACAAAACAAAACAGTTTTGAGAGAAATGGTATTAGAATTCGAATCTGGTCTGTTAAAAAATATATTAGATCTTAAACACTGTGGATTTAAGGCGCTTCAATACAAGCGTAACTTAAACCCACAAATTTGAAACCGTCACACGACCAACGTTGTCTTACCAATGAATTTCAGAATTCACAGAAATCCACACAATTTTCAATATTATATAAATTTATTTGTCAATAATATGTGAAATTATAAGTTATACATGCGACTTAGCTAACTTACATTCGCTGAAAGATCAAAAGTGTCCATATAGCGTACTCGACGCGTTTCCGGGTCAGTCCTCACGAGCTTATCCTTCAGCATACGCCAGGGAAGTCCCAAATGAGTAGTTTCCTCCATAGCACTACACCAGTCGCTAATGGATATAAACCCTGGGAGAAAAACATTACTTTTAGTTGAATTCAAGATTAATTCATATATATTATAAAGCTGGAAGAGTTTGTTTGTTTGAACGCTCAAATCAAGGAGTTCGTTCTTCTTAAATCTTCTACAAAATCTTCATTGCGTGAACGATAACAGTTTAAGAAATCAAAGAATATGTATGATAGAATGATTCCTCTTTAAATTAACTAAAAAAAAGGGCCGCGTCAGTATATATCTTTTAAGATTAACTCGCAAGATTGAGGGGACGCCGACGACATTGTGGGTAACAGGTATAATTTATAAAGCTAAGGTTGTTTGCAAAAGTAAAAAGCCAAAAAAAAAACTATTTTACGCGGACTAAGTCGCGGGTATAGCTAGTGAATTATAAAAGACATGAACTGGTTGGTTTTCTACTCGATGTAGTAATAATATATTATATAAAGAATTAAAGTTAAATTAAATCGTGTAGTTATGATAAGGCTAAGTTAAACTATTTAATTTAAAAAAATTTAAACGAACGGGACTCAAGCCGACATTAACATCTTTCTGTGCTGCTATAACCAATTGAGCTACTGTGTGTACTGTTATTAAAAACTTGCAAACTTTAAAACAATATTGCCTATAGACGAAACTGACATAAAAATAAATATATTTGTAAAAGCCTAGCAAATAGACTAATAAAAACAACAAGACAATTAAGCAAGAAGTGTACATGAAGGAGGCTTGTAAATGAAAGAATAGAAGAGCCATGAAAAAATACGTCACTAGTTTTCCCTTTAATGAAACAAAGAATATGCTTTGAAAATTGATAGCACGATAATTCCATCTTGTATGAAGCAAAATGAATCAAGGCGCAATTAAAGTCAAGAGTGATAGAGTGCCGATACGGTTGGCCAGCACAGTATCATGACAAAGCCAGTATTACATTGTCTTAATCAAGTTTATCGCTTGACTTAGTGGTTAGATCTTAGAGTGTAAAGTGAAGTTACCATATGTAATTATGTGTTAATGTATACCATATTATATTAAGAACTTATAAAAGAGGAGCAGACAAGCATGAGGTTCGCTTGATGGTAGGCGAAGTACCCAGCCTATAACATCGAAACAAGATAATATGCTGTCCATAACCAAAACGCGTTTAACTTCAAGACTTTTTATCTGTGCACGGACGGACTGGTTTCCGGAATCCATGTAGAAATCTGGGCATGTCTCTAAATTAATTTGAAAATGAACCCATTGAGGATCGAACCCACGGCTCCTTAATTATTTTCGATACGTTACTACCGTTACCAACGAGCTCGTCAGTCTTTTGCAAAAAAGACCAGTGAAACAAGTAAGGGCTGATTGGTTAGAGGGTATAGACAGAAATCGATTAATTGTCGCTTATTATCTTTATGTTATCCGCCCGTGAGCATTTCGTTAATTAGATAAAAATAGATTCAGATGTTGTTTTATTAAATAGCCATGGAAGTAACACCGCACCTACTGGGAAAACATTAATTGTAATTAAGGAGTTCTGAAACTGCAACGGCAACAACAAAGCGTCTACGATGCTGCCACTTATTTTCACAAACTTCCTTCTGCAATGTAAAAACTCGACCCTTTGTATATAAAAATATTTTTTCAATAAAACTCGAAAACAATGTGCTTTCGAAACAGATTTCCTTTGCAAATACAAATTAAAAGCCTTTTACGTTGTACTGTGTTCGTTTTTTGAAAATGATAACGCGAACAGACTCGCAGCTTTTTTAATTATTCACTACACGGCTCCAATGATGAACATTGGTATGTAGGAGAATAATACTAATAGTTAAATAAGTTATTTACATGTATTTTTTTAAGTAGTATTGAACTGAAAAAAATTGAAAAACTGAAATTAATAATGCCTGTGTTTGGTGAGTATTTTAATTTAAATAAAACATACTCAGATTTATAACTAAAATATATTAATTAATTATTTTTATTTGTTTTAAATATTGTTCAACATTTGTTAACTCGAGATTCTGATTTTATTAAAATAAACCTAAGTTAACTTATATTACTTGCAGTTTTAAAACGTTAAAAGCGTCTTATTTAAACTTTAAATAAAATGAAACTGCCTTTAATAAATGTTAATTTTAAAGTCATTATCAAACTTATTCTTTAACCATCTTATTGATAAATGAACAAAAAGCTTTGAAACTAACTGAGGAAATGAAAAAATCTATTATTTCTTATGGAATGTCCAAACCCAGTTCTATCATGTCATAATAAGCTTTATTATTTAATGTTTAAAGTACTTTTATGCAACAACCTGTTACGTAAGGCAGTAGCTTCAGTAAATCCTCCAAATGAATCATAATAACATTATAATATGCTATTTTAGAATAAAAGTTAGATAACAAAAGGCCCGAATCCATTGTCAGCTAGTTTTGATGAATGGTACTAAAATGACTTCAAAAAGTTCCGCCGAAAGTGACAACTGCAGATAACCCAAGGCCTGAACCCTCATTAATTCAAAGCCCAACTCTCATGAAATTTCAAAGATCTAGGCACTTAGTGATGACGACATTTTTGATAACTGAACACTCGCGCCTTTTGAATTTCAAACGAATGAAAGAACGAGAACGATTTAGTTCGCCTTTGTAAACTTTGTAGATCACTGTCGATTATAAAAGAAGCAAAATTTGATTACAGAATAGCTGCTCCGGCAAACGTTACTTTATTGTTTGCAAAATCACTATTATAATGTTAATACAAATCTGAAATAAATGGGGATTATGCCTTAACTCATATCTAGACAAAATCTCATAAATAATATATGAGATTTTATATATATAAACACGATTCTTGCTCTTGTTCCTGTTCTTTTGTTGTTTGCAAGAATAATATTAAAACAAACCTAACGAAAATTGGCATTAATATCGAACAAATTTGATTACCATATACGCGGTTCTTGTTAGTAAGGTACTGGTAGTCTTAAAAGATAGCCATATACTGTCGCTAGTTAGATTATTTAAAGTAGAATCATGCTTTCATACATTTTCTACTTTTTCTTTGCTCCTATTAACCGCTACCGGAAGTTTTATAGCCTATAGCTTTCTTTAATAAATGGTCCAATTAACACAAAAGTATGTTTCAATTCGAACCAGTATTTCCTGAGATTAGCGTGTTCAAACAAACAAACTCATCGGCTTTATAATATTAGTATAGACAGTAATAACAATAGCAAATTAGTATAGAATAATATTCAATTAACATAACTGTTGTTTGAGCAGATGAATTGTAGGTACATACTCGTACGTATATAGCTCATCGCATTAATTTCTAGCGTCACTGGTTTTAATTAAATAACTCACCACAATTTTCCGGATCCACACTGCGGAACGTCGCTTCTAATTGTCTCCGGGCCATGACAATATGGCTGTGTAGTTCCCTCATAGCTGAAGACTCCACGAGCCCCACTCTCTGCCTGAAGGTCAGCCGCCTCGTTCGAGATACGGCCGCGGTGTATTGTACGAATTGACGTTCCAAAGAATTCCCGCGTAGTTTCAAATACGCTCCCTTATTTGAACCGAGCTCGTAGTAGTTTGACGCAGAGAATATTGTTATTACCTGATTTTAAGAAGTTCACGAGTATTTATCACGTTTTAAACGGTTATAAGTGTTTCATTCAAATGTGTTATTTTTATTATCTTTTTTCGGTTCTTAGACGCCGTTTTTAATATTATTTAGTGTTAAGAACAAATCGTTAATTGGTTTTTATAAAGCAAAGTAACAATACGACGATAAATTGTTTGGTTTTAAGCTAAGAAATGTAATGTTATATATATATAAAATATTTATTATATAAATATATACAAACATATTGTAATTCAAGCTTTGTACAATCATCCATCTATTACGATTAAGATAGAAATATAATATTTAAATGTGTTTGCAATGATAACAAGCTTTCATTGATTTAGTACTAAAGTACAAAGGGCTACAGTACAATTCTGCTATAGATTAACAAATGCATAAATTTATAATTAGAATAGATTATACTTAACTAAATGCATATTTTATGTCTTATTTTTAGGTCTTAGTGTTGCAGTATTACCGCAATATTTAATTAACATTCACAGAACTTTAATTTAATAACATTTTGCAATTTGAAAATGTTAATAGTTAAATATGTAAATACTGTCTATAGTTTACGCGAATAGTACACATTTAAATAAAACACTTTAACGGTTTAAAACGCGATATATTAGTTAAACTTATTTGAAAATGATAATGTCTCCCCGTGACCACGACTGCAAAGCATCCGAAACGTCGGGCCGTAGTTAAACATCATTTTCAAATTAGTTTAACTAATATATCGCGTTTTGAACCGTTAAAGTGTTTTATTTAAAAGTTAAATATGTAACTTTAATTATAGTATTAGTAAAAAAGTAGGGATTCAATTAAATTAACATGATTTAACTGTATTTATAGTCAAGGTAGATGTGATCTTATACGCTTTAATACAAATGTTTGTAGCTCACGTTTCCATCATGAAGTAGCTCGTATCCCCCAGGTTTACACTCGTGGCTTCTCACTATAAAGCTCAGTTTGTTCTTCTGTAGAAAACTGGCTGTTACGTCAGGTCCGAAGTATGTACCGGCTCCACGAAGAGCGTTCGCCACGCAGCCACCGATAGTTTGAGGATCCGACCAGAGAATATCGAATACCTGCCAAATTAATCATAGTTTAAGTCAAAGTCAAAAACATTTATTCACGTAGGTACTGGGTATACTTATGAACGTCACATTAGACAAAAGCTAAAGACTCTAAATTTACATTTACTACCAGTTCTTAAATCAAGGGCGTAGAACGAACGAGAAGAACTGGCAAGAAACTCGCCGTTACTCCTTTTATCGCCAAGTTTCATTCTACAGTCTTTACGTATTTTACACGACATGATGACATAAGCTTTTAAACAAAAATACTCTAGTGGTAATCTCCCCGTGACCACGGCTGCTGCAAAGCATCCGAAACGTCGGGCCGAAGTTAAAAAACATTTTCAAATAAGTTTAACTAATATATCGCGTTTTAAACCGTTAAAATATTTTATTTAAATGCATATAAACATTATCTGAGTTAAGTTTGAACTCGAAATATTGTCGTCAAATTAATAAAGGAAGAAAAACTAAAGCTTTTTCGTCATTCGCTTCAATTTAAGAGCTACTTAGAACACTTTTCACCGCCGAGTTAATTCTCTTAATTAATACAAATGTTATTACTGGGTACATTAATTTGTACAAGTCGAAGCCTAAGTGGATTTTAATGGTCTATATTATTTGATATCTTAAAGTACAATCTTTTCCCATCACATTGCGTCGTTCGCTTTATTCGCGCCATAAACTGAAATAAAACATTTTTTTCATTTCGTTAATGTCCGTTATCAAAGTTTTTATGGTTGAGTAAGCATTAAAAGCAATCGTATACTTTTCAAACAACGTAACATCTATCTAATCTATATATAATTCTAGTCTTACTCCATAAATACTTGAATAACGTCGCTTCGATGGCTTTAGTGGTTAAACGTTGCCTTGAAAGATACGACAACGCTGTTTGAAACCCGAGTAAACACAAAAAAGTTTAGAACGGCATTCAATTCTACCTAAATATATCGTACCTATTAAAACTACCTTAAAAATATATCGTCACGGTAGCTCAATTTATAGAGCAACGACAAGGTATGCTGTAGTCGGGGGTATGGAAGCTCATGCAATATAAAATTGCAAATGCAAAATTTTTAATTTCTATAATTAGATATGTAATAATATAAAAATTATGTGTATTAAATATTTTTATAAGTTATAAATATATAAAGCCATATGGTATTCAGGAACTAGGCTCAGCTATGGCTGAATGGTTGCCACACTCTGAGTCGCGGCATACTGGCCCGGCACAGAAAAGAGAAGTTTAGTAAAGTAATGATAAAAAAAAGGGGGGGGGAAAAGGGCCCTTTGCCCCACACTGCCAAAATAGCTATTTCATTCGTGAATTCTTTATTCTCAAACTAGTTAATTTACTTTAAGTGATTAGTTTCCACATATTGCTAAGTGCATCTATAATACAATATCCAAGTCACTATCTTGATATTGTGCTTTATGTAGTCGTTAGTCTGCGTGAAAATGATATTAAGATACCAATGAAATTGAGTTCCATGAATATCAATCGCAACGCTATTACGGCTGCGACGATGCTCGTAGCTCGTAGACTTCAAACAATATACATACATATAACTACAACGGATATACAATTCACTTCATCACACATCGTAATCCATTTAAGAGATTCTTGATTTTATAAAGTGTCCGCTTTTTCTTCTGCTGCTGTTATTCTTCATATATTCGATGATGTAATGGTAGTAGTGTGTTGCTATTTCGATAGAATTGTAATTATAATGCGTTGTGGATTCGATCCTCACTAGGTCTAACATTTCTATAGACCCTTTAAATGGATCGAAACGTTAAACTTCGTGTAAAAATGAAAATAATTAATGGGTGGTAGGAATAACGGAAATCCATCGGGACATGAAACAATGTCCACAGATGAAAAGCTTTAATCGCGTTGCAATTTTAGTCTGTGGTTTTCAAAATATCGCAAGCCAAAAAAGATCGACAACGTATTAATGATATGACTGCGGTACTTTATTTAGTGAAACACGCTTGTCCCTCCTAATCTATATAAAATATATTTGGGAAACAAGCATAATTATAACATAGGGTCATATTAAACTATGTAAAGAAAATTCTTAGACTAAGTATTAATACTTATTTGTTGTTTGTTTGTATGTCTACGTAAAATTAACAGATCCAGATAAGTAGACTAATCTACACTAATATTGTAATACTGAAAAGTCTGTTTGTTTGTTTGAACCCGCTAATCTCAGATACTACGTGTTATTAAAATTACAGACAAGCCAATTTCTATTAGTTCTCTACGATTTAAGAAATAAATGACATGAATATTATATGACAAATTATTTACAGCTCTGCCTTGTTTCAAGCTATAACACACTTTGTGACATGAACAATAAACCGGCTATTATCCTCAATCAACAAGCTGCCGAGCGCGCCCTGTCCCACTTTTTATAATTTTAAAGATTACATAGTCTGTTTTTAAACCGAATTAACTTATAAAATACAATAAAAAAGCTTTTAGTCGACTAGATCACGCGGTAGACCTATTTTGGCTTTAGATATTTGAAAATTCACAGGCTGATACCGAAACGCGATTAAACTTCGTGCTTTTCACCTGTACAAATACAATATTCCTGCCACTCATTTAATATCCAGATTTCTAGACGAAGTCCAAAATATTTCAGAAAAATTATAAATTGTTCAGAAACATGTAGAGCTCATGGATCGAACTCACTATACTATCATTAGATATACATTTCTACCATTACATCAAATGGGCCCGTCAAAGACTGTCCTCCTGTTATATAAAAAATGGAAAATAAGTGGACTACACTAATATTAATCCTTAAAAAAAAAGGCTCAATTTTTTTTAATAAATGGCTCGACTTTTAATATAAAACATAAGTACATCACATGTTACTTGTTAATGTTACATGACTTGTTAGTTATTTGTCAGGTCACAAAGGGATTACACGTAGCATAAATTATATAGTACTTCGTGTCACCTGAGAGTTGTAAAGTCAGAACGAGTTCAAAGAAACGTGCAAACGTATTATGGAAATGATAACATAAATAGGGTCAATTTACTTAATAACGATGACGAAGCCTCGTTGAACGCGACGCGTTATCACCTAGACTGATTGTTAGAATTTAATAACATTTAATTTAATTAATTAGTTTTCAAAGAAACAAAACCGCACTTTTAAATGCTTTGTCCTTTGTTATAATACAGAGACACGCATGGCCTTCACTTTGCAATAGGTGAAATATCTAAACCCCTTACAATTTTAGTAAGACGCGCTGTCCATATCTTTGAATTTTAAACAATTTGAAAATAAACCACTGATTTCAAAATTGCAAACACGGCATTTCCAAGTGTGGTTCAAGGCCTGAAACGAGGTAATTTTTTTATTTTTAGAAATATTATGTAACGAATATAATGTTGGACCTGGTGGGAATCGAATCTACGTTTGCTGGTGCTAGGTTTGAGATAATTGCTATCTGTAAGCGAATGCGCTGACAACATTGCATTCTAAAATCCCCTCTTATTGGCACAAAGCACCAGCATTTAAATATTAACCTTTCACATCTTCTACTTTTTAAAACTATAATATAATATATGAATAATAATCCAAAACCATTAATTAATTGAAATACAGGTGGTATTTCAAAAACGGCTAAACAAAAATAATTATATTAAAACAGCTAAACTATTTCAAGAAATAAGTGCTCAAAGAAAAAAGTACTCAAAGAGGAAAATCCAATGCTTCTCACGTAAGTTAAAAAAGGCAAAAACATCATTAATAAACGTCTTCTGCAACTTAACGAGACTTCAGATACAGATGTCAAAGAACGTGACGCGTGTTTCGCCTGCTAACGACATGTCAGGCATATACGCGAGGTAATAAGTACTGACCTGTTTCCGTCTAAATTCACCAGGTGAAACACTTTTCACCGTTAGAAGCATATCCGTTAAAGATTGTGATAAGAAAATATGCGTCTTCTTTAAATTGTAACCTGAGTAGAACGTTTTATTTAACATTCAAGATCTAGTAGATGTCGTTAGGTATATTCAAAACATGGAGGCATGTTCCTATATACATAAAGAAGAACAAAATAATGAACTAGGTAAAACGTAATGATGAATAGGCACGAGGCATAAGAAAATCGATAAAAATACTTCAATAAGCGATACATTGTATGCCACTAATGTTTACGATGTTCACCTTTAAGGCATTGATTTAAAATTACTTCTAACACGATGTGGTTTCAGGGATTCGAAACCTGCCCGTATTGCAAATAAGCTTTGAAAATTATAATGATAATTCAGTATGGTAAGAACAACAATTCTCATAAACAGACGCCCTTTGAACTTTCTTTGAAATACAACAGTGTAATATAAAAATAAATGTTGAAGTGCGAGTGTCTATCAAGAAAATCCTAAGAAAATGCCCCTCAAGAGGGTAAGTTGTCGGGTCTGGTGGAAACTTAATAATATCATCCTCACACTTTGCTGAAGCGAACAAATGATATTATAACGGATAAAGTTAAGCCCCAGAAATTGGTTATAGTGAACGAAAAACATTACGAATCGGATGTAGTTCTATTCGTAATGGCTTATTAAGGAAATAATGGAAATGTCGAAGTTAAGCTTCGTAAGCCTATATTAATTAATGTTCCATTGAAGCACATTGGATTTTCAAATTCCTATTCTACAAATCGGGCCGACGAAAACGTTTATCAAAATGAATTTACATAAATATTCCGTGATGCTTTGAAAATGACACTCAAATGCGAAATATTAGTCTTTAATAACCTAAATATGTGACAAAAAGTTTTTATTAACATTAGTCGAACGTACACCTTTAACTCACTGTGCAAAAGTTTGTTTTTATAAAAACCTTCGACAATTTTACCATAAAGAGGTAATTGTATTACGAAATAAATTATAATGAATGAAAATCATTTCTTTTTTCTTGACCTTCATTTTATTTCAACTGATATAACAAGTTTTTTAGCTTTATTTATGCTATTAAATTTTCTATAAGAGTGTAATTAAGCTACTTGTGACAATATAAGTCTTAAAGAGTTTCCAAGTCTATCGCTGGAAACACACAGGTTATTTAAAACTACACCTGACCTCCCATTCCTTTTAAAGGTTTGAATCGTCATGGCATTAAAGTATAACTTTAAAGGGTGAGTAAAAATAGTGTCCATTTTTTGTTAGCACTGAGATTACCTACTCGGTAGTATTATAAACTGTGCGTTCCATTATACCGTGCGTGTTAATACATAATAAAGTTACATGAAGCCATAACGCTATTACGTGAACGAGTTTCGAAGGCTTAACGTTGGATCTTATTATGTCAAGTTCAAGGAAATTCCATCAGCGTCTAGTCTGAAATAAAGAATTCTCTCCACATGGTATCACTGGGACAAATAGAACCGAGAATTAACCGAGCAATACTTATTTGCACGAGGGTAAGAGGGTGTAAGGTCATGAAAGAGGAGCAAATAGGTTTACTACATAAGTGGTCTGGAAGACAAATTACTTTTTGAGAGAAAATGACTGCTGAGAGCACTCACTGTGTACCTGAATTAACGAAATTTCGTCTGTGGCAATTTCGCAAGAATATGATCAACCAGTACTGAATTTTTGCTGATTTGTTTATGAAAATTTATTTCATACAACATTTTTACGTTTAAAGAAAAAAAATCTGGTTCTTTTTAATTCTTAAACTTAAACAACATAGTTAGCAAGCCAAGACTTCCTTAAATACTGTCTATAGTTTACGCGAGTAGTACACATTTAAATAAAACACTTTAACGGTTTAAAACGCGATGTATTAGTTACACTTATTTGAAAATGATTTTTAACTTCAACCCGATGTTTCGGATGCTTTGCAGCAGTTAAAAATCATTTTCAAATAAGTTTAACAAATATATCGCGTTTTAAACCGTTAAAGTGTTTTATTTAAACAAGACTTCCTTCTTTAAATTATTCTTTAATAATTTCTCTACGATATTCTTTTATAATTGGTTATAACGAGCTATTGTTTTTTTTTAATAAATTAATGTTTTGTATGTAAGTTCTTTTTCTTTGACAAATTTTAACAATTACAAAGCAATCTGATAAACACAGATATATCGATAAGAATAAAACACTGGACGTTTCATCGTAATTTCAGATTGTGTGTATTAAAAACTTTCGACAGCGTAGGTACGGAATTAATCAACGCATAAAAGTTTGGATATAAAATATTGACAATCATGAATCAACAAGGTGAAAAATTAGGATGAAAGTTTTTCCTCGACTGTATACCATTTGGATGATAGACAAATGATGTTAAACTCAGGGGCCAAATCACTCCCACGCAAAATTAAAGGGCATTATTAACGAAAGATGTTTTATTCGAGTGCCCCTTAATTTCGCATTGAAATACTCCGGTTAATGAAAGCCTATGGTATATTAAAATTGTACCTCGAAGACAGCAATCAAATATCCAAATTAAATTTTGTTTGAGCAGTGTCACACTGTGCGGAAAGCTACCTAACGAGCTTATGTACGACGCCGTGTACTGCATCTAAGGCTGTGGCTTCCATTATACGCCTTAGGCTATGTAACGCGTTATGTCGCGTCACGATGCTTACTCTGAGATCCTATGGTGTCAATAACTTGCGAAAGAAATCATCTCATTCCATCAGACGTCGATAAACAATACTAGCGTCAAATTAACACCTGAATTCTAATAACGAGGAACCCTAAAAGAAATACAAATAACAAAACGCTATGATTATGTCGTTTACAGTAAACGTCACCGTGTGACAAAGGACTCGAACCCACGACGCCAACGTCTTGGGCTTTAGGCTCTTATCATCGTCCTTGTCATTTTTTGTTTAATAGATCAATCCGTAATTGATAAATACATTAATTTCTTGCGCAATCTAATCTCAACCTTATTATCACTTATACAATGGATTCAATGCCCAATGCCTTCATTGAAGATTAATACAATAAGCTGAACTATAATATGAAATATAATGATGGTTCAAATAGAAGGTTTTTTTATAAGTAGCATAACACGACCTGTAACACTTATAGGAGACGACAACCTAACTATAACTTCATTTTCTCGTAAACTTCGTAGCGCAACTCTAAAAGCTTGCAACGGCTTGATTTTAATATGTATGATTTATAATATATATATAATAATTTAAAAAATACTCCAAGCGTTTACTATTTTTACACTAACGTTGTCAAGTGCATATATAGTTTATTGCATCACAGATTAATTGGTTTGATGCATTTTAATCTCAGTCAAGGGCTTTCTGATCGAGAATTGCGTTACTCGTAGTATTTACAGCGTATAATCGATTATGAGGTCGGGTGCTCCGTCGCCAGTTATGTATCGAATAATTGTGTATTTAAATAGAGAATAAATGAAATTATTATGTTTTTATCGTTAGAAGTAAATTATATTTCATTCAATTCGTTTTTTATGACACACACACATAGACAAGAAGTAGGTTGAAAGATTCTGATGTTAGATATAGATATTTAGTCCACATACTAAAACCGAAATACTAATAAACTTGACGACCTTTATGGTTTATGACTCGGATGAAATTTCGATATTTCTATCCATCTACCATTCAGGTATTACAAGCGAGGTCTTTTTTACAAAAACAAATGTTTTAGAAAAAAAACACATTTACAAACGTATGAACATAGTGGGAATCGTACCCGTGGCCAATTGATTATTATTCATATTATATTGCAACCAATCGACCAACGAAATATTGGTCTAAATTTGTGTTTCAGGAAAGACACCTTTCAAAATACTTACCTTTTTTGTAGCTAAATGGTAAAACGTGTTGCCTAGGATGCGTTAATCCCGAAAGGTCCTGGGTTCGAATTCCAGGGAAATGATAGATTGTCTTGGTCGGGCAGGGCACAGAAATTTAACTTTAATAAAAATTAATCAGTGAAACAGACACAGAAATGTGTTCGCCCCACGAGCTATAATTATCAATGAGTAACATTTTAGACCAAAAACTTTTTAGCCATTACCAATAAAACAGAAGCAGAATACTAAATCCTAAGGCAATAAAGGGTGGATCGATATCGAAATGAAAGAATGATGAAAGTCAGCTCACCTGTTTCCATTCCACCTTGTCGATCGTTTCGGCGCCCGGCGCGGCGCCTTCGGTGACGGGCGGGCGTAACAAAGACGCGTACTGAAAATTAACTTTGTGTTCCAATCAATCACGTATCAAAGGCTTAATTTGCCGAACCTCTATTAATCTGATGTGTTATCTCTAGAGTGATGTTATTTATAAATTACGAGTCAATACGTTACAATAGAAGATGGAAAATTAATACAAGTTTAGTAAGTTGTAAAATACACATCTATACTTCAGTTGTAGAGAGTTCAGTTTGTGGTGGATTTTGTTTGTTTGTATTGTTTGAACGCGCTAATCTCTGGAACTACGGGTTTGAATTTTAAAACAACAACTTTTTGTGTTGGTTAGAGCATTTATCGCGGAAGGCTATAAAGCATCGCCCTGTGACTAATAGAAGTGAAGATACAATGTAAAAAATTGGGAAAATTATTCATAATTATGGATTTCCGAGGCGTACGCTCCAAAAACGGTTCAAGATACCCAAAAAATATGTACGAAGGAATGATTTCTCTTTAAATGATCTAAAACAAAGTCTCTGACGCTATATGTCATATAACAAGTAGTTAAACTTCTGTGCTTTTAAGACTAACTTTCAAGAATGACGGGAAAGGACGCGACCGACGTCGTGGGTAACAGCTTAAATTTATAAAGATGAAGAAAAACAAATTTGGATGCCCAAAATAACTATATTACGCGAAAAAAAAGCCGCGGACACAACAGCAACATATACAACATACATCATTAAAAAGCAAAGAGGTATAATTATTTTTGTTCACATAGTATAATAATCATACTATGTGAATGTTTGGTCATTACAGTCACCGTAATTTGTCTATGTCATTGTTAAAAAGCGACAAAACTAATGACTTAGATTTATATTATGTATTATAATGTAGATTGTGTATATGCCCACATGGTTTTACACCCACGTGCAACGAAACCCTCTAGATTAGTCTATCAAATATTAACGTGTTGTCGATGCCAATCCTAATATAATATTTGAAGCTTTAGAATGTGTACAGGTGAATAGAAAGAATTCTGATGTTATATTCAGTAACTTGTGGTGTAGAGGAATTTAGAGGAAACATAAGTTTAGCTTTACAACGATAGTTTACTTATATCTGTACTAATATTATACAGCTGTAATGTTTGTTTGTTTGTTTGTTTGTTTGAAAACGCTAATCTCAGGAAGTACTGGGTCGAAGTGAAAATATTTTTGTATTGGTTTCAATATTACGTTACGATCAATCGGAGCGAAAGAAATTGTGGCAAAATAGGGGAACATTATTAATTTTTCATGGCTTCCGTTGTGTGCGCAGCGAAAGCGGTTTAATATACCAAAAAATATGGATCAAAAACGATTCTACTCTTAATAATCAAAGAAAATGTCCGCGACAGTATATATCAATTTTTTAAGATTAACTCATAAGAGGATAACGAATTTGATGCACAAAATAACTTTTTTTACGCGGAAGAAGTCGCTGGTACAGCTAGTATTATTACAACAATGGTTTTTACTTTACTTATAACAATAGTTTAGTTACATAATTCTATAGTGACTTTTTTTTCGTGTGAAAAGTTAATATAATGTAAATAAACTGCAAGTAATAATCGGTAACAATCGTTTTTGATACGGTGAAACACGCGAAAGGCGTCTCCGGCGAATGGCGGACATAAATAATTGCTTGTCCGTTTGAGTGACAATAAAACGCTATGTGATCCACTCGGTTTGTACTGAATAGTCTTTTATTTATTCTACAATTTAAAAGAGCAATAAAATTAAACCTTTAGATCGCCGTAACGGCTAACAAATTAAAATTGACTGACGCAAACGACGGGAAAGTTCAGTGTGACGTAGTGGCCAATTATTTTCTCTCATATAACACGTACTTAATATATATTGCAGTATAATTGATTTAATTTTACTGATAACATCAATTTAAATAAAACAGTTTAAAACGTGAGTTATATTAGTTAACGTGTTTTATTTAAATGTGAACTATCCGCGTAAAGTACAGACAGCTATATTACCATTGTTTTATGCATTTTTTCATATTTTCGTGCTTAATACAATATAACTGCAAAGAGTCCGCCATTTGTAAAGCAGGAAACATTTAATGCTTATGAATCTTTCCGTGTTTTAAATAGAGATTAATCGAATAATAAAATGTCTTAGAACTTTGAACAACTTAAACTGGAACCGGAGAGTTTTAATGATATTTATTCATAACTATTGAATATTCATAAATTTTAAGCGGTTAAAGCTTAGCTTATTAAATTAGGTATAAGGCCATTTCAAATCGGTCATTATATTCCTGTAGAATTAAATTAAAAATCTATTAAGATTTAAACAAAAAAATAATCATTTATACAATGTGCAATGCACTAACATGTGAAAAACAATGAAGTTTTAAAACATTTTTATATGTTTGAAAATTTTATCGATGTGGGCATAGATTTAGATATTTGGCTATTGGCTGGTAACTACAAGTTTTCTTATCTAAAATTTACAAAAAGTTACAGATTCAAACTTGGCTTTTCCAATAAAAAGGAACTTTTAGAGAAGTCAGTTTCTGATTCGATCTAAAACTTTTATTTAAATTTCATGTTGAATATTTTATTGTATGGAAAAATATTTGAAGATTTTTACATTTAAAATCTGTGACGCCTAATCTAATTACCCGCCTAATCGCCTCGTAACGTTACTCGTCTATATGAGCAAATAATGATCCAAGAGCTAAAATCAACCAACCTTATCTCGCTCGAGACTTTTCACCATATCCAAATCTGTAGTATCAGAGATTCCACCGTGTACCACGAAGACTCGGTTGTTAATGATCGTTCCCAGCGGCAACCATCGGTAAACATTTTCAATGAGCTTCAGAAGGCGTTCCGCATTGTGCTAGCCAAACAAACAACCATGGATTATACATCAAAGAACAAGATAGAAAATTATATTCGTCCGCTCAATATTATAACGTTTCATAGGTTTTTGATGAAACTTTACTGAGAATATAATTATTAAGTTAAGTGAACAGTTCTGTATGAAATTAAACAAAGAAATTAATCAAAATTTGATCGAGATGAAACATTGTGTCGAATTCTCCCCCATTTTTTCTGCTTCTGACGTATTAATTGCCAATAAGTTGTGTGAAGCAAATTAACTTGATCAACTTAAAATGGTATGTGCTTGACGGGCTTGTTGGTGTAATGGTGGCAATTTACAGCTAGTAATCAACGGGTCGTGGGTAATTCCCTACCGGGTCTAACATTTTTCTGAAATGTTCGCCTGGATATTAAATAAAATCGGATCTCGACTCACCATCCACAGAAATAAAAAAAAACCGTCAATTTTAATCACGTTTCGATGTCAGTCTGTGAATTTCAGAACATCTAAAGCCAAATCTTGTTTAGATGCTATAGGAGGTATTTGACTTACGATCAAGTAAACCACATGATTGTCTGTACTCCTTTATCACTAAAAATAAACTAAAGATTTCTGTTCTTTTTACAACGTATAACAAAGACAATACCGTTTAACTATGAGAGAATATGAAAGAGGTCAAGTGCTTTTATTATTAGATATATTTAATGAAAGAGACCTGCTGAATCAAGAATGAGCTGATTTAAGCGCACTTAGAATTAAAAATACTTGCCGACTTCGAGAGAATTGAATTGCAGCGTCAAGCTTCGCATTGTTAACATTTTACTCTTTAATATTAAGTGAAATAGGTAAATACCTCCATGTTTTGGATACATAAAATAATGTTTACTATCAGAGCGACAGCCGATGATCCAAGTTTAATGAAATTTCATATTGAAAGTTGGGAAAGGACAAAGCCTACTTTTATCCCGAAATATACACAGTACCAAATATATTGTAACATGCCGAATTTACGAGATTAACATTTATAAATATCTACCAAGGACTACGTAGAAATTTCATAATTTTGTACAGCCTATTTGAAAATTTTGTATAAAAATACACTTGTTCGTTAAATTCAAACCACTAACTTACCTTATATTTCTGATGAACCTCCCTGATAAAGCCATACCTTTTAAAGAAATAGATTTAGGTCACTAATTGGATAACATCAGACTATGACTATGACAAAATAAATATTAAAACATGAACATTCAAAGATAAAATACAGTTTCTCACATGATTATACAACACCAACATGAAACCAGACCCCTCTCACCTCGCATTCATTATAAGATCTTCGTGGTTCCCTCGATTCAGGAATACTCCCCCGGGAAACGCCAACATACAAGCCAAGAGCAAAAGCAACACTTCTAAACTCTTCTTGCCCCTATCGACGAAGTCTCCGTTAAATATGTACGGGTTCTCTGTCGATGGTAGGCCATTCTGGTGAGAAATTTGAATATTTACTGACTAAGGCACTGAAAATTTCATTAACTTATTGCAACACGTCTTAGGCCGCATAGCGCTTAAAATAATTTCAGTTTAAGAATTTATAGGTATATGGGCTCTATCCTTGCTTATATGTGTAATAAACTACAATTCCCTCTACCCAAATCCCACGATTTCTGAAACACCCACGTCACGTCCGCGTTGAGATAAATTTTGAATAATTAAATTGGGAAACACATCGGGTGTTTAAGTACGGTCAAGTTAAATATTTTCGCTTATAATATTTATTTCTTTACACGAGAGAAATCTCAAGTTTCGAGAGCTGGAGAAAGTCAAGGTATTCACGTCACAGAAATAATGCAAACGTGACGCTGTGCCCGTGAATCCTTAGAGATGCGAAGGTGACCCTGACTTACACAACTGTGTGTAATACTAATCGATACCCCGGCGTTACGCAATCATTATTATCCTTCACGATCCGTATTATCCTCCGTCTGCATTACAGTCAAATGCTTCTGATTGGCGACCCTTTTCGCGATGTTCTGGTGCGATAAATTTCCCTGACATATGTTCGGAATTTCCGATAGATCAAAAGGCCCAATTTGCTATCTAAAACCCGCACTGGCATATCTACTTTTTGTATTGTATATCAAATTAAATCGACAATACTGTGATACATAGCACCGCGCCGTAACATTGAAATTGTTGTTAACTCAAAGAGATAAAAATAGCAAGATATTTGAGGCTGTAGTAAAAACCTTTTTTATTACAAACTTCCATTTCAATGCTCTACAAGAAAAATTACATTTTTAACTTTTAAACTTCAATCATCAATTCTTAAGTTAGCTTGTCCCGAGATTATAACCAGGTATTTCCAAAACTAATGTGTAATATGTAAACGTATATTAGTTTTGAAATACTCGTTTATTTATAAAAATAATTTCCTCTAAGAAAATTATGTATTAGCAAATTATTTCAAGTCTTCGGAGTTTTTACCACATCGGTTTTCAATTTGTAACAAAATGGACAGCAATAGCAATAACAATGAACGATGTGAACACTGAACCATCCTATATTCGTTCGTTCAAACAATCGTATATCGGACAACGATCAATCAAACGTAGTGGAATTAAGATCGCATAAATTGGATGACGCGTACGCCGCTCCCTAATTGTTTACTGTTACCCACTAGTCTTATCACGATTTGACGTCATCGCTTCCACAATAGTTAGACCTGCGTTAGACTGTGGCCTCCTATAAACATAGGCCACGAATACCGTAACGTAACGTATAATTATATTGTTAAATTTGACGCTACTACAATCAAAATAACTACGTACGCGCCCAAACCGTTTATAGGAAACCATAGCCTAAGACCTTAAAACCGTCATTCGACCTTTAAAACAAATAGTGAATCACAAATATTGTTACGTGTACTCAAAGGTCAATAGGTTAACGCCTCGATCCCATTTCCCCGAACGCATTTTGGGGTTATTTCGTCTTATGAGCTGTCGCCGCATTTCCTGCTACATTCTTACAAAAATGTCGGGATTGTTGGGCACGCTGGCATTCTGCCACAATCGAATCCGGAGTGCCGCACACAATGTACACATCGTCTTACATTAATCCCTGACTACAAGCGAACTGTAAGACACGCTATCAAAGCACTGTAATAAATCTTGTTTAATTGCTTTCTTTTCTTGTCAGGTTTAAGCGCCATCTAAACGCTGCCCCTCTTCGAATAAATTGCATGTAATCTCTGATTTCTATCGGAGTTTTTTTACGATTTTGCGTGTGTGTACCTAAGGAATACTGTAAATATTTACCTAATCGTTATATTACCGTTTCGAACAAAGGGAAAATAAGCTTGTTGTCGTAATAAATAAATCACTATTTCACACATCCCATATCTGAACAAATTCAACATACGGAAAATAAAGGGACGACAAGAAAATCCTGAATGCCTTTACGACACAAACAAGGGTTGCTGGAATATTCTGATATTTTGATTTATACGATGTGACGTGTTATGGAGATATTAAATATGACGTTATTATAGAATAAAACATGTTATCGTGATTGTATCGACAATGTTTGAATTCGTATTATATCATCGCAATATAAAATAGTAGGTAAATTAATTTTAACTCTATATGCTTTACGATTTCCTCGCATTAGAATCAAGTATTAAAGGGAACAAAGTGCCAACCCTATACAGGTAACAAAACTTAATAACGCCTAACGCTACCGCTGTACATCATATTTCGTTGACAAAATTCCATGTGACGCCGTAAGAATACCAATCTCATTTTATATTAAGATACGAAATAACTTGGTTATCGGATATTATAATCTATATAGCTGGTAAATAATAACCAGATGTAAGAAAAAATACATCACGTCGAATGTAATTTTTGAATAAGGTATTCACTCCTCACCTGATGACGGCGAAGTGATTAGGATGGTAAATTTCGCAAGTATGTTCGTACGAGGGATATCAATCCTATTTTAATAAATGAAATGGTTTGTAATAATAAAAGTAATTTTAAAGAAATTAAATACGATGAAATCTAAATATCATATCACAAAGTTTGAAATGTATAAACAAAGGTTTTTTTGTGAAATCGGGCTATATCAAAAACATATTATTCACAAAATATAAAGCGCAGGCTGACGGTATTCATCTAAATCATCTCACCTTATGGAATATAACGAGCAAGTCATCCAACTTCCCGTGCAAGTCACCGCAGATTGTGATCTGGCTCGATATTGAAGTGGTAGCCACATTAATATTGGGCAGCCTTTTCAATGTTTGAGAGGCTTCTTTTAAGATCTGGGCCACGTGCTTCGGATGTAAACGGTGCTGTAATATTTCTTTCGTTATCATAATGGCCTTAATTAATACTTTAGCGTCATATAAAAGTTTTATACATCAAATTTAACAAGTGATATGATTATGATATTCAGAATTAAATATTTAACATAAATATACTTCATCTAATACAGGTGAAAAAAATAAATACCTATATTTAATGTATAAAGTATACATTCTGAACTTATTTTTATAATGTATTATACAAATTTAATTTCACCACCGATTTTCTATTGTAAGTGGTTATTCTTTGACAAGACACTTCTCGCATAAAAAATAATTGTTTGTAAACTTTATTGTCAGACTTCTCATCATATAATAGGCAAGGTGTAGTCTCACCCGCACGCGGGCCGTAACAAATTATACGGACCTTTTTCTTTCTGAACGCCTCAATCAGCAAGTCGATATCTTTTCTCTTCAATGGGAATTCGATATCGGGACCGGTGGCAGATTTGGACGGCGCAGTTTCATCGACGCCGCCGCCTTCATCCGACTCCTCGGAAAATACTTGTTCCACTGAAATATTAACATACCGTATTCATTCCTAACAAAACAATGCTATTTATCATGGTCCCGTGTGAGGGATAATCCATTTAGGGAACACCGCGCGCGACGTAGACAAAAGTCCCTTCACTTCCACATTTTATACGCGGATCTACCGCAGTTGTATGTAGATTAAGTGTCCTCAAAACAAATGTATTGTTTGCGTTGTTTGTGAGAGAGCTTTTACAACGCATGGTTTTTTTTAAAGGACGTTAAAAGCTTTTGATTTGGTGTGGATAATTCTATACTTTGTTCCGAACTCCCAACAAATATTGTCCCATCTAATTTTAACTTTTTGTTCAGCATTTTATCAAACTTTTAATGGAAAATAACTATGTATACATTGTACATCTATCATTTTAATAACTTTGCAACATTCTAGCTTCAGGAATATTAGACAAATGATCTAGATCGACAATAGGTATTTATGAGCCATACTGGATTATACATTTTTGCTTGACTTCAAAAAACATTATTCTGTCCTTTTCCCACATTTCTTTTTAACTTTAGAAATAGGCTAATTATTAAATATCTACACGATAAATGCGGATTTCTAATTATGTATTCCGCACTAAGAATAGTCGAGACCTACTTTTAAATATATCGTTAAGTGCCAAGGGTCATGTGGACTAGAAATCGTAATGCAGTATAAGAGGTAAAATAATGGAACTGCACTGTGCTAGTGCCAAATAAGCCACAAAAAATCAGGCCTCTTTCGTTCTTAGCTCGTGGAATTTTATGTTATTTAATTACTTCTAGTTATTACTCAAAGGCCTTGTATAGTAACGAAAAGATAATGGAGTTTGTTAGGAACAAAATCTTACCTGTCAATTGGTTTTTAATTTTAAAATTTCAGCACTGTTTGGTCATTAAGTTGGCTCAGGCATTAGATAGTTACGATAATAATTATAGTATATATAGGTAAATCTGTTACGTTAACTCTATATATATAAACATTATCCTTTACCCTTTTCTTTTCTCCTCACTAAGATTTTCTTAATAAGTTTCTGTAAGATGTGCGACATGTATCCATTTATTTATCAGTAACAACTTACGAACAGACGCTGTACGTGATGTCCTTTCAGAGGAGGGCCGCCCCGTCGTGTCTCTCATGTGAGTCAGCAACGCGTTGAAAAAGTTGTACAACTGGAAAATACCACTCAATTTATCTGTTCTTTTTCTCCGATCCCCGGAGTCATTTTAAACTTTTTCTTTATAACTGTTGGAACTTGTAACAAAGGAAAATGAGGATTACTGTATGTTTCACATCGTTTATGGAGTTTTATTTACCAAAAGATTTCCACACGAAGAAATGGAATTCAAGTCCTTCAAATTTAAATTGAGAACGTCCTTGATCAGACTTCCATGCTCTGCTAAACTAAGATGGGATTCGAACGCACGACCGCCCAGACTTAACGAAAGGCAGCATAGTTATGGACAACGTTAATATACAGGGCAGTACACATATCACTACTTTTAAATTTGTTAATATATCGGTTTGTTTCTATATATCTCTTGAACCAGATTTTGCTACGGGATAGATGACGTGTGAATCAGTAAATTACATCGTAGGTCGTATATAATTCAAACAGCAATATCGATATTCAATATAGCTATCAATTCTAAGGTGAAAATAGTGTAAGTGGAGTAAAAGAATAATCACCTATCATCGGCTTACTTTGAGCGTGAAAAAGAAATCAGGAAAAAGTGTTGAAAGGGAAACTGTGAGATTGAAATAATCAATCAAAGTCATTTATTTAAGGCTTCAGCCTCGATTCGATTGAGGAGTAAAAATTGTTTTTCTTTATTACAGTCCTACATTCTCTCTTTCTCGAAATGAATTCAAATTGAAGAGGTAATTGCAAAAACAGTTGAATAATAAAAAGATACGACCAAATAGATTTATCGCTTGTAACATATTGTCCGACGAGATTTAATTACGAGCACGCGATTAAATAAACATAACGGGGCATTTCAAAGTCATCTTAAAAAGCTCAAAACGCTAACACCCCAAGTATAATGAGTGAATGGATTTAGATGTTTGCACAAATTAAATGATGCCAATATGAAAAAAAATTAAATGTTACTATATATTATGAGAATTATTTTAAAATATAAGATGTAAAACACGAGCGGGACTCGAAATCATGATCATTGCAAAGCAACATTACAGTTCGAGTAAAATTTTCAACTTAAAATCGTCTTCATATAAAACATGTTAACAGTTTAAAACACGATATATATAAGTTGAACTTATTTAGAAGTTATTTTAACTACGGACCGATGTTTCGGATGCTTTGCAGCAGCCGTGGTCACGGGAGGGTTTAATTTTAATGTGTACTACTCGCGTAAACTACAGACAGTAAATACTGTTTAACTTGAGTATTTAACTAATATATCGCGTTTTAAACCGTTAAAGTGTTCTACAGACAGTATTTAAAATCATCTATTAATTTATATAAGCTCTCGTGTCCATGTCCATTGTATACTAAAATTATAAAAGTGTGTTTGTTAATTTGTTCTTTCAAATATTCTAAACAAAATCGTGAGTATGACGACGGGGACGTCGATTATAATTTTGCAAAAGAGTGTCTGAACAACTAGTTTACGTATAATATCTTGTCGTCTGTGCATCCGCTTGACTGGTCATTGCTCAGTCATTATGTGGCCTCAACGACCGCCGACTGAGCTGCTCATGCGTTTACGGTATTTTATACTTGTCTGAATTAGTCTTGATGGGGATGTCTTTCATCACTTTATTTATATTGATGTGCCTCATTGGTTTTATTGATAAACACTAGTGAGCTTATTTCTTTTACGTTATTACACTTCCTAAAAGCTCTATCGAAAAAGAGAGAATTGAATACCATCAAATGATTAAAATGATCAATATTGTCTAGGAGATAACTAACACTAACACACTGTATTTTCATTTCAAACTATATCTACAGGTTTATTATACAGGCGCGAAAAATATTCGAAATTGAGTTTTGCTTAAAGAAAAGGACGTGGAAAATATGTTTTCCTCTATAACGGTTTTTGCTTGGACTGGGGACAATATAGCCCATGATTACTAACGGGCTTATCAGCATATCATCGTTTTCTGGCTGTTCGGCCGGCGTGAGCGAGTAGAGGTTCTCGACGTTTCGTCATCGCGAGCAGAGGGCATCATCAGGAGAAGTAAGCTCCTCGATTGTCACATCGGCCGAACAGCCCGGAAAACAGTGATATGCTGAACGATGGCCTTGAAAGCCTTACACAATATATTAAGCATTTATCAGTTTACTAATAACCTAGTGTATCAGCATTGCGTTTAGTAAATAACTACATATCTAATAATATGATGAATAGAGGTTAAGAAGATACTGTCTGTAGTTTACGCGAGTAGTACACATTTAAATAAAACACTTTAACGGTTTTTTACTCTCCGTAACCACGGCTGCAAAGCATCCGAAAAGTCGGGCCGTAGTTAAAAACAATTCTCAAACAATTTTAACTAAAATATATTGTGTTTTAAACCGTTAAAGTGTTTTATTTAAATAGAGGTTAAGAAGGAAAAAAAATAGAAAAGACATCGCGTTAATTAGCACTTGTAATGACTATCATTAAAAATTCTAAACGCAATTTGTTTATAAAATCTACACCATTGAGAATTAATTACGGTCTAATTATTCCATCAGTTTGTGATACTTGGTTACTAATTTATTTGGTTCGATTGTGGCCTGGCGCTTCCCAAATTCGCTGAGTGTTCGTAGAATTCATTAATATTATGAAAGTTGATTAATTACCTAATTGACTTGAAAACCTATGCTGGAACATAATTACATGGATGATTTTTAAATTATATTTACTTTATAACTTATAAAAAGGTATGTGTGGTATAGGCATTGGGGCATTGGTTTTATTAATCGATTTTAATAACGGGTAAGTTGATCTACTTAGGTATGCAGACATATCTTCGGAGAAAATAATGCAAAAAACGTTTATACTACCTCTTAGAAATATAGTGTTTTATGGAAAATTATTTAATAACCCTTTAAAGTTTAAAAGTAACGTCAAATTACATAAAGATGGATTTCCGTGTTACTTTTCGCTGTTAAAAATTGTTTACAGTAAGATATAATATATGTTACTCCGATGGCACCCTAGGTCTACGCGATGTGTACTGTTTAATAAGTTTTTTCCGGGATTTAGCTTATTTGTAGTACTCCAAAATAGTGATTAAGAATACAGTACATACAGTATATTTAGTTAACTACGAAACACATGCATTTTAACACGTCATAAAATTATTCTTATGCGTTGCAATAGTTTTTAATAGGATAATTATGCAGAATCACATAAAGCACCTAGTTCACCTAAAATCCATGCAAACCTACTTTATTGACGTTTCGTCATACATGTTTGTATATTAGTGATGGACAGAAATTCGGTTAACTAAAATAAGCTAGATTTATTTCGGTTTATGTGGCTAAATATTGGTATATGCAATCGAAACTTAGAGTTCAAAATGTTTATATTTGAAAACTTTAATATTTCTCACATGTTATTGCACATGAAGGCACTATATAATTTAAAAATCGAAAATAAATTGAAAAAAAAATTTCGACTTGGACGGACTTGAATCGGCATCGTCAGCGTTACGTGTTGTTGCTCTACAGTGTAATTTTTTTCAATTTATTTTCGATTTTTAAATTTTAAAAAAATCTATTATTCATAAAAAATATTTCTTTTGAACATAACGTACGTACTTATAAACAGCTTGTTCAACATTTTTTTTAAATTACTTTATTAATACGAAATTTCTTAAGTTAAATAGTGTCACAGTTGCACATGAATTGAAATTGTATAACTGCTTAATATTTCAAAGCAAACATTTCGCTTAAGCCGAATGGGATTTCGGTTTGGGTTGACTGCTTGGAACAACATTCGGCCCATCTCTAGTGTAGATACCTACATAATTCGATATTGCCGTGTTGTGGTTTCACGAGCTATAACTTCAACATCGCGTGCACCTGTCTCATACAAAACGTAGGAGATAAACCTACAGTCGTTATTATTTCACGATACGTACAATTCACGCTAACATCTCAATAAAAGTAACTTGAGCCTGTTGTTTCCTCGCCTATACCGTTACATATTGTAGCTTATTTTATCATAATATCTGGATTGTTCTATGAAATTATATAACCCAGACTATTATAAATCTTATATGAACACAGAACCGTCTTTTTAGTATTTGTTTATGAGAAAATGTATTTTGAGATCAGTCGAAATAAATTATGGTAATCTAATGTCTTAATTGAAGCGACTTTTCTAATTTATTCTGACTAAATTGAAAACGTAAATGTAAGCCAAACGAATCTAACAACCAAGTATTAATATTATATTCATTAATAGTAAATTTAAAAGTAAAAACGCAACATTACAATAATACAGTTAACAAAGGAACAGTAGGTAATTTAAAGTTTTTTTCCTTTAGAAAGGTTTACAGACAATATGAGGTTAAAACTAAACAACACATATCGTTTAAATAAATCACTTTAACAATAACGGCAGCCGTGGTCTCCCCGTGACCAAGGTTGATGCAAAGCATCCGAAACGTCGGGCCGTAGTTAAAAATAATTTTCAAACAAGTTTAACTAAAACATATCGCGCGTTAAACCGTTTAAGTGTCTTATTGTATTGTTTTAGCGTTGTTAGCAATGTGTACCACTCGCGTAAACAACAGACAGTATTTAACTCATATCATATTGATTAGTGGATACAAATTTAAGAAATCGAGAAACTGGAAACATTGACACCACATTAAATATTATACGGTATAATTTTGTACCTTCACTTGGTCCTGTTCGCCTGCATATTCTATGCTTTGGAAGATGGTCCATGTATACCGCCTTCTCACCTCCATCCTCGCTAAATACCGACGATACCATTGCTGTATTAGTATTGCTGCTTTCATTGCTGCAACAAATAAGAACACATTTATTTTCGTCCCAATATATCAGGAAAAGAAATCTTCACAAATTCGCTCCAGGCTTAGTGGCGGTCAACTGCTAATAATAAAACCAGGAATAACATAGTTCACTATTCATAATGACTATTTTGTTCCGTCAAGGTCTCTCATGCATAGGAGAAACTTAACCACAATTTATATGGTATCGAATCAGTCTTCCGGAATCCATACAAATTGTAGCTAACTTTGCTTCATACGTGTTAACATTCTCTCACTCTGCCCAGACAAGTGAAATAATACAGTATGTATTAAATTATAACTCTAGTTCATACGAGTGTTAAATAAAACATATTTAAACCGTTTATATGTATAGTAACTTGTATAATAAGAGTACACAACCCTAATAACAAAAAGTGTTTTTTTATAACTAAAAATTAATATTACTATTATTTTTTTTATCATCGGCTCCGATAGTTATCGACAGACGCGTTCCATCCATTACCTAATTGATAGAATACGCGTTTTAGACCGGTTAAAGAGTTTTAATTACCATTCGTAAACAATAGACAATAGTTATTCATTACTACATAATATAATCTTCTACATAAATCTTTACATATGGTATTATTTGCGATGATAGCAACCCTTTCAACCTATCTGTTATCTCTAGACAATGTTTAATTTGTATTCAAACTGAGCCACTATCTATAACGGTCGTACGTGAAACGGATAATGCCCCATAAGTAGTAGGCACGAGCGTGGCGATAGTTTTACCGCAGTATACGGCATTGTCCATGCCGCAAATGCGCCGATATAATTTTATATAGATCTCGTGGGTTTACACACAAAAATATGTATAAAAGAATGATTCCTTTTTAAATGACATAAAAAAATGTCCGCGACAGTGTATCTATTAAGAATAACTTACAAAAATGACGGGACGCGAACGACGTCGTGGGTAGGTAACAGCTCAATTTATAAAGTTGAAACCTCCTGGGTTTGGAAAAACAAATTTAATGCCCAAAATAATTATTCTACGCAGTTGCTGACACAGCTAGTCAAAAATATGTCACGAGATATAATCGTACTAAGAATGGAAAGGGTTTAATTTAATGTGCAATGTTCGAGTAAACTACGAAAACTGTTTTCTTTTCTTTCTTTCTCCTAAAAATACCTTGTTACTTATCTTTTATGTTTTCATGCATTCAAATAACATCGTAAATCTCAAACTTAATTAAGGAATTCAATTTAAACGGGCAGTTCTATTGTGTCCCTTGTAAATCACTCCCACATACCCAATTTTATCACAACTGAAAAGTTTATTGAAAAACTGGTCATGCGACACCTTTACCCGGAAAAAATGTCGCTTGTAAATAACAGGTTCAAAGACAAATGAACAAAAATGTCCAAAGCAAAAATAGGACGACAGCGTATCTTGTTTAGATGATATGTGGTATTTCACCTCTCATCGTGTCCTGTATCATTAATAAAATGTGTAGGTGTTATATATCTTCCAATTTATTGTAATTCAATATTAAGTACAGTTGGCTATTTATGCGAGTTGTACACATTTAAAAAGAATATCAACGGTTCAAAACGAAGTATATATTATTTAATTTATTAAGATGAGACATCAGCTGCTGTAAGCCACCCGAAATGTCAGGAGATAATTAAAGTGTTTTGTTTTATGTAAGTTAGATTTACACAATGAAATTGCGTATATTCTTTAAACTGACCCACCGAGACCACGTCCCCAATGCTACGGCTGCTTTTAAGATCCCGAAACGATGGTTCGGTTTTAAATTAAATTTAATAATATGTTTCACATTTTTAACTGCTAAAATGTTTTATTTAAATGTTACAGACAAAACGTATCACCGTGATGTGCAATAAAACACATGTGGGTTAGAAATATACAAATGTTGAACATTCTACGTTGTTTAAAAAAAATGTTATAAAAAATTTGGGGGAAAAAAAAAGATCTTGGGGAAAAAAAAAAAAAAAAGAAAAAATAAGGGGGGGGCTAGGACCAAAGAGTTTGTTGAAACTTTTCTAACAATGTATACGTTGCAAGTTGCAACCTAGTACTTAGTCTGCATACATTGCAGCATTATGTTAATATCAGTTAGATAATAGAATTTATAGAAAACAAAAAAGACCAGACGCTTTTTATACCGGATTGGAAACCGCATTTTTGTAGGTGGAATTTTTAAAGATTTAAATAAAACACTAACAGTTTAAAACGCGATTTATATAAGTTAAACTTATTTTAAATACGGCCCGTCGTTTAACTAACAAACATCGCGTTTTAAACCGTTAAAGTGTTTTATTTTAATGTGTAGGGTACTACTAGTGAAAACTGCAGACAATGTTTGTTAAACGGGTATTAAAAGTTTACAATGCCATTAGACAGTATATAATTATAATAAAGCTGTCTTAATAACTAGTCCGTGCTTTGGAAAGCAGAGCAGTATGGTGGAGTGAAGTTCAGCGTTTTCCTATGAGCCCTGTTCCAACCGTGGGATCTATAGATCGGAATGACCATATTAAACGGTTTTATAAATTATTTAAAATAGACGGAATCTTGTTATGCCAACATCCCACATGTTTATTTATGTCCGAAAGGATTTAACTGAAATCCAATTTACATTACTTAAATATGTTAATGACGTAGTCCCACCCTTCCCGAGTTTCTATCTAGATTAAACTGATTAGGACAAGTGAATATTCATTACAATACGTGCTTTAGACAATGCAATCAGAGAAACCTTCAAGGAACAATGCCAGTTTCGTAAAACTACTCCAGAACGCGTAAATGCATTTTTATTGCTAAAGATGAGTTTATCACCTCCGATGCATTAACTGCATTGTGTAAAGTGCGAAAAGTCCTAGATTCGAATTTCGAGAAAACATATTATGGTTTCGGTCGGATGAAGAACAACATGCAAATAAAATACTGTCTATCGTTTACGCGAGCAGTAAACATTCAAATAAAACATTTTGACGGTTTAAAACGTGCAAATGCGTAACTGCCCCATGCTCTGTGCGAGAAACTGGATTTCATTTCCAGCAACTTAATGCAGATTAAAGCGATGACTCGCGATAAAATAGACATTAATCGTGACGTCATCTATAGTACAATAAAAAAGTTGTTTAAACTATTGAAATAACAATATCCAAATATCTTGTCTATCTATTTTGTCTTTTGGTTGTGATTTGGAAGTGAAACTCATGTTTGTCTGCCCTCCTCTCTCTCAAAAAAAAATTATACTCACTTCGTTCTGCTTTCGTCATACTGACGTCCTCCCTCTTCCAAAAACGCAAAAATGGAGCGAGTGCCTTCATCGTGCATTCGCCGTTGAGCATTCGCCTGGTGAGCTTTTTAGGTACCTCTTGTTCTATTTCGGAGCTTCTGCAGGACGAAGAGTCATCGCCCATAGACCGTGTACGTCTCCCACCGCCGAAGTTGACGCAACCACAGCCTTGTGTTAGTGAAAACATGACGGGACTCTTGTCCTTTTTATACTTTTTATCTCTTCTTTTCCGGGCACATCTTGGCGTTTTCTGGCGTGATTTGGGAATTGTGGTAGAATTTACACTAGCGTGAGTGGATGAAGCAGATCATGACCCAGTCGTGCTGACTGGATTTCACCTGAAACAAAAACACTATTTAGACACAGGCCCAACACGGCATTGCATTTTTGTATAGCACATTTCACAACACAAGATTATTATTTATCTGGTTATGTAGGCCAGTCTCTGATTTTCAACGTGGCTGGATTACGTTTATTAGAGACGCGAGAAAAACCCATTGAAGACCCACATTCAATAGATTACCTTCTCTCAAACATTCAGGTGGATCCAGCGAATATTATTGGTTTGTATTTACCTGGCTCTGAAGCCAGTTGAATGGTATTCGTGAACTCGATTTACTTCATTCCCTAGAGCCAAAAGAGTCGTCTGGTATTTTGCTCGCGAAATATATTTTATATTATTTTAAGAGGAACTCTTATAGCCATTATTTATGAAAATGAATATCACATTTGATCCTCTAAGAGATAAATAAAATAACTTAAAAAAAAAAACACTTTAACGGTTTAAAACGTGATATATTAGTTAAACTTATTTGAAAATGATTTTTAACTTCTGCCCGACGTTTCGGATGCTTTGCAGCCGTGGTCACGGGGAGACTGAAGAGAACATAAATAAACTTCTTAAACAAGATGTAAATAAACCTAATATTTTATTAACGGTTCGCAAAAATGTGTGCGATTTTTCGTCGCATTGTTATGTAGCAACAAAAATCTTCCCTTTAATATAATACTAGCTGTCTTTTGCACGTGGTAACCTGTTAACGTAAAATATCAAGCTTCTTGTTACTTGGGACCTTTCAGTAACATATAATATCCAGTCTCTAAAGGGAAATTCAATACCTGAATACAGCCTTCAATGTCAGTAATTCCAAATGGTTCGTTTAGTTCTTAAAGATAGGATGTACTACCCATATTTTATTTTGTTTCACAGTTTTAGAGACCAGATATATATATTATTTATTATATTAATAAGTAAAGACAGATAATTGTATAAATAAAAAGAGAATTTTAAACAGATCGCATCATGATTAAAATCTGAAAAAAACAAATCTTTTGGTAACACATAAATACTTCATGTTAAATAAATAATATAAGTTATTTGATACCTAAACATTTAAGTAGTTAATTAATAATATGTAAGTATAACAAAAACCTCTATTCCTTGTATGTGTATGTAATGTTATTATAATCCAATACATACACATGTTAAATTAATATTAGGAACAATTTATTTATTATGTTATATCACGATATTTACTTCAAAGGATAATAGAAATTAATTTTGCCAAATATCTTCGCTTGCCCTTTCTCTGGGCGGGTGAGCGTTGATCATTTATTACAATTCACATGATTTATTTTCCTCTAACAGACAATAAATATTAATTAACCGAAATACGAACAAGGGCGAGTTATATAATTGCAATATTTAAGTTATAATTAACATACTAACTTTATATTCCGATATGAAAAATACTGTAAAAAAAGACATGATATGAAATAAATCATAATGATTTTCAGTTTAGTCTGCTGAATGTCTCTTTGACATTACATTGACTGGGAAGACGCGTTTGAAATCATAACGCTCTGCTATTATTATTATGTTCGTCCGAGATGTAAATAGCAAAAACTGTAGGATCATCACTATATTTATTCATGACCGATACTTTTTACGATCTTTGGAGTGGGATTCATTAAAACTCATAAAATACCATCTGTAAAGCATATTACTCATTCTTCGTAGAGAACGCAGTAAGGAAAATTACCTTCAACTCAGTTTAAATAAATAGTTCATTGACAAAAAACACTTGCAAGTAAAAAGTTACCATTGGTATTTCTATTACTTTATGCTTAATAGCAAAATAAAATTAAGATTTAACTTTTGGTTTTCTTTAAACGGTAACCTTTATTTGGATAAACAAATATATGATTTGGTAGTATTATGATATTAACTCTGGCTGTTATGTATATCGTCTGATATTTGAAAATGAATTAATATTTACTTATGTAGGTATTTATTTCCTTCTCTTGCTAGGCGGGTAAAAGAAGTTTGAGTTTTTAATTGTCACTATATCGCTTAACAAATTAATGACCTCAAATAATGAATTTCGGCAGATTCGAAGTCGAATTATTTATTAAGGAAGATAAAAGAACAAAAATTAAAACTATTTATATATTTACGAATTTACTTCATCACGTCAACGCGACACTAGTGTTTTAAATGAGCTAGGTATTCTAAAATAACCGAAACTCAAATAGACACATTGACGTTATATAACACAGTCAAACATCTGATGAACATTTTCAAATATAAAAAAGGTCTAAATATAGTTGTAATATTTGGCGTCTTTTAGTTTCAAGTACTTTTCAAATAGACTGTTTAAATTCATAAATTGTCGGAAGGAGTTTTATTCGTAATATCAAGTAGTACGTTAAACTGAGATTTATTGTATTATATATATATATATATATATTTCAGCGTCACGAAGAACGAATGTTAATACATTTTTATCAACTGTATGTGCTACTTTATTATAAATAATAATTTATTCGTACTAGTAACATGTACTAAAAAGACCAAATGTAAGAACTTTTTAAGATTTGACCGTATTCGTTTACTTTATTTCACTTAACTTAACTTATTCTACATCGGTTCGAATAAATATACAGTAACTGTCAGTAAAGAAATATTTGACATAAGTCCAATCTAAATTTTCACCTGTAGTCTAGCATTCTCTACCAAAATAACACCTTATTTAACAGAAACAATGTGCCATTAATTCCTCAAAGTAGACGCGAAACACCTTACACGCATAAATCGTAGCACTTTGTCCTCTACGAGACTACGAGCTACGCAATTTGTTTACGAAATAACGACATGAGGTTACGACAATCTACTCGAATTAAGTTATTTGACGTTTCGTAACGATGATCGATAAAAACAACGACGACGGTTTTTATATTAATTTAATCATGTTATCGGTTTTAATATACGTTACTTACTACTTAATACTGTTCTTAACATCGTGTACTTCTTCGTTGTTGTTTATTGTTTAATCTTTACACCTGTATAATATGATTTTATATTTTCCTTTCTTTACTCGTATACCTATTGTCGGTAACATAAAATAAAGGTTTTAAGTCCCATTTAAAGGAACAAACTCTTGCTAAGCTGAAACTTTGTTAATTCATTTACATTCTACGGCTCCTGATGGAGGGCAAATGCTGAGAACTTTGATAATATAGGGTCAAATCTCGTTTGCCTAATAAATTCCATATAAGTAATAACGTTACTAATTCGGTAGGTACGAAAACTTTGAAGCAATACAGAATTATAAATACCAGTTGTCCTATATCCCATTTTATGGCTTAATATTGTTTGAGCTCTTCAATCCGCGTTTTATTACGCTTAAGAATGCATAAACAAATAAACGCAGTAAAGAAAGTAATTGCTCTAGTTTTAGTAGCTAATAACTATTTATAACAACTGAATAGTTCGTATAGATTGAGAAACGTTTAACAGGAAGGCAGCAAAGTTTAAACGATGTAAAGTAGTTTAAGACAAAAAGTGCTTTGTGTTTGTAACAATAAATGTAATGTTATCTCGTTTTAAAATTGTCAAATTTAAGAACCTCGAGTCGAGTGTTCTCTTTTCAATCTTTGTGGAACTAAAATGCTTAAAAACTTTTAGACTTCAACTGTACAAATGTGTAAAAGTGATTTACACATTTGTACAGTTTACAATAGATACTCCACTAGTGGATGTAATTAGGTAATTCCTGTTCTTGTAGCTACGCTTTATTTAATACTGTTATCTTGAGAGTCGTAACGGATGACTACTAGGTAGTTTAAGAGGCTACTTTTAACGTCAGTAAAAGTACATTTAAAAGTTTACATTTTCTTCCTTCACGCTTTCTCAATAATTTACGTCTAAAATTTGACTATTCGCACCACACTCGTACAGTTTGAAAATTTAAATTAAAAATACAAGAAATTGTAGTTCAATTGTTAAAGCGTACCTTTGAAGCTACTGGCCTGCAGTGAGCATAATACGTTAAGACTGATTATGACTTGCTTAATATTGTTATAGCCGTCGTGTAGAATGACAAAATGTAATCTAAAGCATGCGACGCATATAACAAGAATTAAACAATTATTCGTGCACGCTTTTCGAATACGATGCCCGAGCATTTCCCGAACGATTTGGCAACTCTTACTAGCCTAATTTTAAATTGTAATCTCCCTGAGTCAACGCTCTCGGCTCTAACACTCGAAATAAACGGTCCTTGTGAAAACCGATCATATTTGACCGAGTGCATTCGAGAATCAAACAAGCGATTAGCATTTTAAATGTACTCGTGTCCCACATTGACAGATAAATGGCACGCTGCCAATAAAAATCAATGAGTTAACATGATGCCCTAATTAGAATTATATGTAAGTACCAATGCAATTAATGCAGAAGGCCTATGTGACGAAGCATTTGGCAACGGTCCAATCATTTTCACTTTTCACTGACGAAACATTAGGTACGTTGTGTATAGAGAATAGTTTACGATCGATCGATTATGTATAAATAAATCATTTTGAATGGATGTTAATAATTGACGTTACACATAATACTAAAACATATCTTACTTTATTAAGCGTAAGCACTTTGCCTGCGCAAAGTTGTTACTATAAGTGCTCACGTGTCTGGAAAACGCTATATATAAAGATATGAAGACTCGAGAGAAAAGTTTGAATCTAAAATGTAGGTACCAATTTTCAAATTGAAGAGGAGGTGAAAATGCCACAGTTCAAGACACACTTTGACTATACTATTTAGAAATACTAATATCTACATTATGTTTCATTATCAATTTATAATAAGAACTTTTCTATATTCTACGGTACGATAACTTTTAGATATACGTATCACCAAAGTAAGTCTTGCATCTGTTCTAGATTATCTTAAAAACGAGCATGAAACGTTTGGATTTAGGACCGCAAATAATATTTAATTTTTATTGCTTATTGCTCTAAGAACCACGTAAAAATATGTTAATTAAATTAGATATTCAAAACTTATAAGGGTGTAGATTAGATAGGATCTAATTCGTTTTAATTAGATAGAATTTAAATACATAAGAACAAAAATGCATTGCAATCATATAATATTATGGAACTTTAGATCAAAATATTGTTTATATATTTCAGTTAGCTTTCCTATAAGAAAAAGTTAGTTGTTAGTATATTAATAGTAATTCCGATTGCATATAATGAAGATGAGCTAAAGTTACATTTTGACTTTACACAATCAGAGAATGAAAAAGAAACTCGGATTGACATTACAAGAATTTTCATTCGTGGAATGTGGTTCGTAACCTTATTCCTACCTACTTAATGTCTATATTTTCAAGAAGGAGTCTGTTTTTTTATATAAAACGTGAAGAAGCATACTGTCTATAGTTTACGCGAGTAGTACACAATATGAAGCGTCTTAAACCGATAAAGTGTTTTATTTAAATGTGAAAAAGCATGTTTAATGCAACGGTTTCAAAACCATGACCCGTTAGATATTGCACGTATGCCATAGATACATTTAGCCGTACTATCACGTAAAAGTTATAGGTATACAAATGCAGGGAAATTAATTTGAATTAAAACTATTGTTGGATAAACATTTATTCTACAGTGTAATCAACGTGCAACACTAGTGTGAAAATTTAGGGTTGGCGCCCGCTAGTAATTTATAGCAGAGAAATCTATTTCTCGCCTAGCGCGACGAAACTATAAATCAATTAGGTAATCGAACGATCAATTAAGATTATTTACTCTTTTTTTCTAACAATGTATGTTCGTATCGCGTATTTATCAATATTAGGTATATTACACAATATATCAATATAAAACAATATCAATTACTACTCGTATATAAACGTACGACCTATTTCTGAATTAAATGGACAGAGTCTAATAAAATCCGAAATATTTTTTCTATTTACCTACTAGTGTACAGCCACGTATAGCAAGAACGTCACATTTTATTTCATAGTTTTTAATTTGTACAATTATTTTTTTAAAGTTGTAAAAATATCATTACGCAAAAAACATAATATATTTATAATTCAAGTGATCACGTAAAACCCGCAGTTACAACTAAGTAAAACTTTAATACCTAGCAGTCATTGTGTAGTGTAAAATTTATTTTAAATAAAATGAACTTTTATACTCACAATATTCCCAACGTAAAAAAATGTAATAAATAAAATAAAGGAACATAAAGAACACAACGAAACACTTTTCACATTAACTAAGATTACTCGGAAAATTATAGCAAGTCTCGAGCTTTGATGAAAAGCTACGCCACCAACTGTAGTGACATACTGCGACCGACTAATCTGAACGCTGTAACTTTACGATGCTCTCTACTGAAAGCAAGACCCACCAACCGCAGTAAGTATGTTTTAATATCTTAAGTAATCAAGAAAAAATATAGTGTAATATTAAAAAAAACATAGTTTTCGGAACATGATTGTACTTTTCCTTGTTTTGTAAAATCAGTTTTTAAAATGTCTCTGTAACTGACTTTTCCCTTTAGTTATGTGCGAAAAATATTTATGTTTTGAATGAGTCGATTGTATATATTAACCCAATTTAGAATTCGGCTTTTCTTTCTGAAATTTTCTCGTTATGGAATAACGTACTTTATCTCAACGTATAAGATTAACTTTATATCTCATACCGTAGATAGGCAATGAATCTTTATTACATTGCATTACAGAGCGCTTTGGTTTTACTATAAATATTTATACCTGAGTTATAGTATAAAGATAATATATTCTTACTTATTCTGGTCGTGAGCAGATGAAGTGAAATTTGTTAAATTATATTAAAGAAAACTCTTCGAAAACTATTGTTCAAATATAATTTGTAATAATTATTAATTATTAAGCAAAACTAGGACTAAAAATTGCGCTAAATAATTTAAATACTCCAAACCCACAGACAATCCAATTTTTTTACCTAGACTACAGAAGTAGTCTTATCGCGTTTGAAGTTGATTCTACCAATGAGCATTATAATTAGTTTACTGTCATCATAATTGTCAGTGTCAATACGTGCCATGATCGCGTCTCACGGATGACGAAACGCGATGTGTTTTTATGTTTTGGCTCGTTTAGTTGTTTTCGCAACATGTTACTTTCATGAATAAAATCCGCCGTGCTTTTAATAACTGATATTTACAATCAATTGTTAATGCTTGAAATCGCAGATACCATACAGCCAATGTCAGCCAGATATTATTCCTTATCTATCCATCACTGTATTTCCAAACATTGAGGATCAGTTTACTACAGTATTAAAAAGAACTTAAGGTTAAGTGGATTAAGGCTAGTTGATTATGACTCGAAATTTCACTGTAAAATTTTACAAATGTATACATTTTTTATACTATAATCGCTACTAATATTACAGATGCCAGCAGCTAGTTTTGGTTCCCTAGCACAGTTGCCAGGGACTGGAGATTGTGGAATAAAGGATGTTTGGAATCACAATTTACATGAAGAATTCCAAATCATAAGACAAGTAAGTTATGTTAGCTCTAAGTTCAGCTTAAGTTTTTTGTAACAGAGTGCTATATCTAATTAAAATATTGTTTAAAGGTTGTCCAAAAGTACCACTGGGTCGCTATGGACACAGAGTTTCCTGGTGTGGTTGCTAGGCCCATAGGAGAGTTTCGTTCTACTGCAGACTATCAGTATCAATTACTAAGGTAAATATCTAATAATTATTGATAATATTGGGTTAAAATATAGATATACAAATAGTCAATCAATGAAATTGGCACAGTGCGTGTTAACACTATACACACCCTAACAATTTTTATATATATATTTATGCTATTTTATTTTTAGATGTAATGTTGATTTGCTAAGAATAATTCAACTCGGACTTACATTTATGGATGAGAATGGGAAAACACCCCCTGGTTATACAACATGGCAGTTCAATTTTAAATTTAATTTACAGTAAGTTATGAAAATAAAATAAAATACTAATTAAGCTTAGTTATGTTCTAAGGTTGAAATTAGATTTTCTCTTCTATGATAAGATACCAGAAAATTGCTTGTAATATAAATAATGCAATAAAATTCTTTATAATCAGGGAAGATATGTATGCTCAAGATTCCATTGATCTGCTTCAAAACTCTGGTCTCCAATTTCGAAAACATGAAGAAGAAGGCATAGAGCCTTTGGAATTTGCTGAACTTCTTATGTCATCAGGTAATAAATTTTTTTATTTTATTTGTAGTGCTTTTAAACCATTTCAGTATTTTGTAACAATGTATTAATTCTATTTTTGTTTGTTACAGGCCTTGTTTTAATGGACAATATTAAATGGCTCAGCTTTCATTCAGGCTATGATTTTGGATATCTACTTAAGTTACTTACAGATCAGAACTTGCCACAAGATGAAAATGATTTCTTTGAAAGTCTCCGACTATATTTTCCAACGGTGTATGATGTGAAGGTATAGTATTTTACATAACAGTAACATGAATATTCACTTAAGAAACTTAAATATGATTGGGTACTTAACAATTCTTATATGAGTGCCAAAGTAAATAGTTATGCTTTTAAGCTGGCATGGTCTCTTGACCACATACCACTCATTAGGTAGAACTGAGAATACCTGTTTATTAAAAAAATCCTCTTAAACATATATATATTTAGCAATTTTGCTTTACAGTACTTGATGAAATTGTGCAAAAATCTTAAGGGTGGATTACAAGAAGTCGCTGATCAGCTTGAATTACGTAGAGTTGGACCACAGCATCAGGCAGGATCTGATTCTCATTTAACTGGCATGGCATTTTTTAAAATTAAAGAGGTCTGTCTTCTTGTCTCTATAAACGCAATATTAAAGAGATCAACCTTGCATAAAAATGATTGTATCAATTATTTTTATTTCTAGATTTTCTTTGATGACAACATTGAAAGTTCTAGCGGTCACCTGTACGGTTTGGGAGCGCCATTTTCGGTGAATTCAAACAATTTTCAAGACAATGGTGAAAATGGTAGTTCTTCTTGATGTGGAAATGCAATAATTATGAGAAGTCTATAGCAAAACCACATGTGTTCCACCTTACAGAATAAAAATGTAAATACTACACAAATTAATGTACCAATTATATTACTAAGCGCATTTGACAAAATAATGATACACAAAATATTATGACACATATCAATATAATTGCAATTTTAATTATTTTAAATTTTTCTCGTTTCAAGGTACAGGTTTTTTCAGGATTTTCAGGTGTAGATATGGAAATAATGGTATGATGAATTATTTGAAGAATGTGTATTAAGTAATAATTTTTAATAAGCTTTATATTTAATATTTTCTTGATTTTATTGTACCTGTATTTTATTGAGAACATAAGTTTGATGTATTTATGGTGAATTAATATCAAAAATAAAATAAAATCAAGTAATGGTTTTTTACTCCTTATTCTTTGCTAAGCTATATTTACTTGATACGATCATTCTGCACATTTTATGGGTCAAGAAATGAGGCTTATCTACGTAATAAATGTATGTGTGTATCCTTTTTTTGTTTGTATTCTTTATATCGAAAATAAAGTATTCGAATCAAATTCTTTAACTGTTAACTATAAATAATTATAATAAAAAGAATATCGAGTATTAATATATTATATAATAAAATTAGGTTTCATTCCCAATTTTAATTGTGCGCATCGCAACAGTATCTTTAGTAATAAGTTTACAACTTTACACGCTATAGTCTGTAATGGTTGGTTTCATTTTTGTCTATGATAGTTGGTCATCATTGTTTATTGTTACTAAAATTTTAGGTTATATTTAGTATGTAAGTAGAAAATAGTATTTTTAAGGTTTTTAAATGTGAGATTGAGCTGTAACACTAGATTTCAGAAGTTGTATTCCAAAAATATTTATAATTTGTTTAATGTGTTATTGAACAAATTTTTGCAAAACAATATCCGATATGTATCCTCTTCGCCGGAAAATATTTAGAAATGTTATTTTCCCTACATGTCATCGAATCTTAGCGTTGCACAATTGTCCTTTACAACAAAAAGTACTACCCAACTTCGGTAATATCTATCACAATAACTTCCACACAAATAATACATTGTTAGTTAAAATGTATATGGAGAAAGAAAATAAATATGCTTATAATATAATGGAAAATTGTGGATATACAACACATTTAGATATTTTTCCTGATACAACTTGTTTATCTAAAGATGAATTTGAACATATGATACTAAAGGATTGGACAAAGGAATCTCATGAAGAAATTTTCAAAGCATTTCCCTTACTAATATCATACATTTCTAACAATAATTTATGCCTTTCGGATACCATGTTCGATAATTTTATAGATGCTTTAACAGATAACATTGAACATTCATCAGTAGATGAATTAAAAAGCCATTTTTACACACTTGCTAGATGTCCGGCAACTCTCTCTATAAGAACTAGAAATTATGTTGAAATATGGGTAGCTTTAGATGATGCTTGTGTAAATAGGTATAAACAATGGTCATATGATGAAATTTTATCATTTGTGGCTTTATTTTATATGTTAAGTGCAACAAGAGCATCAGATTATTGCTATAAAAGTATCCAAAGATTGACATTTCGTGCCCATAAGTTAACAAAACCACAATTAGTTCAAACTTTTTTCTTTATAGCAGCAATGAGGTTTTCACCAAATGATATGCACAACTTAGAACTTGCTGTAGAAAAATGTTTTGATAAATTCAGCATTGATGAATTAGCCATCATTTCAATGGGATTTTTTAAGAGCAAAGTTCCTGTTAGGAACTTTAACACAATTTCAAGGATTATTGATAAAATTCTAGAGAATCCTTCTGCAGTTCACGAAGTTTCTCTTGCTGCATTATTAAAGGTTATTCGTTTATCAAGGAAGATCCCAATTGATGATAAAATATATGATTTACTTGAAAAACTACAATGTGAAGTATCACGACTATCTATAATGTGCAATGTCCATATAGCCTTACTTTCCTGCAGTACCCTGACATTACATGAAGGCTGCTTATTAAAAATTGCAGAAGTTGTTCTAAAAAATATAACCAATGCTAGAATAAAAGACTTCGAACGGTTAGTACTTACTTTTGGGACATTTAATCTGCTTCCACAAACACCGGACAATTTTATAGAGAAAGTAATTGATGAATTAAGAAAACCATATAGGGAACAAGAGATATTGACCCATGGCCGTTCATTTGCTTGTTGTATAGCCCACCTTGGCCTCTCCGGATATTATCCTCTGGATCTTATTGAAAAAACTTTAAATAAGCCATTTTTAGAACAAACTTATGGAAAATATTGTTTGTCATATGGAAGAGAAATACTGTCACTAAATAACTTTGTTAAAATATTTCATAAAAATGCCAATATAGATCTCAGTGATAAGGAATCTTTAACATTGGCGAAGAGATACACTGACTATTTACCAGACGAAAATTATGCTAAGCAGTATAATGTTACAGAAAAGCTGTACATGGATATTAAGAGAGTAATTGAAAGTGACAGAGGTGCCAACTATGTTGTAGGACATCACATTGTTACACATCATCAACGAGGAGGTAAAGTTTTATGAATATTTTTTACTCTAAAATAATTTACATTTAAGTTATCTAAATGAACTATTAAATTCCAGATTTAATAATATGTGACGATGTCAACAACAGACCAGTTGCAGTGCAAGATGTATTTAGTAATATAAAATTTGGAACACTTTGTTCAGCTCCAAATGATAATAATATTTGGATAGCCTTAATTGTAGTAGGAAGAAATGGGATGCTTTACAAAGACAACAAACCAAGTGGTCATTTTCTATCAAAAATCAGAGAGCTCAATGCTCTAGGATTTAAAGCCGCACCAGTAAGTATATAAACAAAGATATGAATATAAAAGGTTTATATTCCTTGTGCATTACTAACTAAAACTGCAAATTGTTTTCAGGTATGTTGGACGTATTATTCAGAATGTAAAACACATGAAGAAAAACTTAAATATATAAATACTGTTATAAAAGAGGCAAAGTCTATAAGATAATTTATAAATATAACTTTTTGTACATAATAAGTATATTGTTTAATTTTTAAGAATAGGTACATAATTATGTAACGATTTAAGTGATACAAAAAAACATTGTCCATGATGTTTTAGGCTTTTTCGACGACAAGATTGGACGACCTGGGATATTTTGAAAGTAGATTTTTTAAATTGAAAATAACGGAATTAAAACTTCCGTTGTTTATTTACCAATCGTTATTTAATGACAAAATGTAACAGTAAATACAAACTAATAATAAGGACTAAGTGTTTGTCATTAAATTTTATCCAGCTGAATCCATTATGCATTTTTGTATCACTGCAAATTCACAATAAACTCCTATAATCAATTACTAATTAGAACTAAAAGACAAAATTATCTCTATCTATGCTAATATATAAAGCTGAAGAGTATGTTTGTTTGTACGCGCAAATCTCAGGAACTACGGGTTTGAATTGAAAATGATTTTTGTGGCTTATACATATCCCTGTGACTAATACAGCGACAAACGTGAGAAAAAGCGGGACAATATATTATCTTTTAAAGTATCATTAAAATATGCTATTCATTTGCAAGGAAAAACTTTATACAATAGAAAATGTGACTATAATAATTAAAACATTTATGAGACCACTAGATATATTATTATAAAAATTAGGGTAAGGAGGCAGTCCCTAAAATATACATGAATAAGTAATTTAAGTATGTAAGCACGGCAACAATGTTATTGCTGTTTATATAAAATATTTTAAATTAATCGACAACCGTCTTCATTCACAATCGATTATATATTACTACATCCCTACTGTCATTTGTCAAGTATTCCATCCTAAATTAGACATATAATTTTGTGTTTGATATTCTTTAATGTCTTTGGTTTATGCTTGCTCAGTGGTTTATGCTTTCCTTTCGGTAAAGTTGAAAGCAGCATTTAAAATAGTTTAAACAGTAAATACATAAAATAGAGTAATTTTAAACTTGAATGTGGTTTTACGTTATTCTATATTATGGGTAAAAATAACTATTAAAATGTTTTAACAGATGCTTGTGAAAAAAATTGCTGCTATGTTATACTTCCTTAACCAAATGTGGCTAATAACAGAACTCATATGCAATTATATTTCATTTCAGATATTTAAAACATTAAAGCTCATACGTTGGTAATCATATTTCATCAGATAAAATCGATCATTGTTCCGTTAGTATTATAAAAATGGCACAGGTCGAAGAGCCTATGGAGACTGCCGAAGTTGGAGACAATTCCGTATGTTAATTTGTTTTATGGGTGTATATTTGATTGTATAGAATTTTAATCATAATAGTAATGTTTGCTGCAGAACGGCTCATCTAGTGATACAACATCATCTCGAGGTAAGGAGGGCGACTTTGAGAGTAAAATTGAAACAGATCGCTCAAGAAGATTTGACTTTTTACTGAAACAAACCGAGATCTTTTCACATTTTATGAGTAACGCTAAATCTGCGAGTAGCCCTCCAAAACCAAAAGCAGGTAGGCCGCGGAAGAACAAAGAAATTGAATCAAGCCCCGGAGAGTAAGTGTAACTTTTGTAAATATTTTTATTTATTTTAGTTTGTACATTAATGTTGGAATAGAAGAGAAGAAACATGGAAATAGGTAACTAAAATTCGTTTTTTCACCTACAGTAATCGTCACCGAAAAACTGAACAAGAGGAAGATGAAGAACTTCTTGCCGAAACTAACACAAAACAGAAAAATATCTTTAGGTTTGAAGCATCTCCACCTTATGTTAAAAATGGTGAAATGCGGGACTATCAAGTGAGAGGTCTCAATTGGATGATATCATTGTATGAGAATGGTATTAATGGTATTTTAGCTGATGAAATGGGTCTTGGCAAGACACTGCAGACAATTTCACTGTTGGGATATATGAAACATTTTAAGTAAGCAATAAGTTTAGTTTAGATGTTACTTTTCTGTATAAATTGCCTCATCTTACAACTCATGGAATGGCAAAAGGCAAACTAACTTTAACCTATAGCATTTATATTATTATAATGTTTTTAAGTTTCCCTCCTTTAATGTAAAATAATATTTTTGTTAAACTATTTATCCATCTTTAATAGTAAGAATAATATTATTAATGGAGTCCTAAATATTTTTTTTTTTCTAGAAATGTTCCTGGTCCCCACATAGTAATTGTTCCAAAATCAACACTTACTAATTGGATGAATGAATTTAAAAAATGGTGTCCATCCCTCAGAGCTGTCTGCTTAATAGGTGACCAAGAAACAAGGGTAGGACCTTAGAATGACATGATAATAATATGATGCATAACTTTATAAGAAAAACTTTTAAACAAAGTAATCATTTTCAGAATATATTCATCCGAGAGACACTTATGCCAGGTAATTGGGATGTTTGTATCACTTCATATGAAATGATCATAAGAGAAAAATCAGTCTTCAAGAAGTTTAACTGGAGATATATGGTTATTGACGAAGCACATAGAATTAAGAATGAAAAATCAAAGCTCTCAGAACTGTTGCGAGAATTCAAAAGCATGAACCGTTTGTTGCTAACTGGAACTCCGCTGCAGAACAATTTACATGAACTTTGGGCCTTACTTAACTTTCTTCTGCCTGATGTATTCAATAGTTCAGATGTAAGTTTGTTTTTGTTTTTTTAATAATTTTGTACAGTAATGTATAAAGTGTTATTTATTAGGAATTTTAGCGTTATCTAATGTTATTGAATGTAATTTTTTTCTAGGACTTCGATGCTTGGTTCAACACAAATGCTGCTCTAGGAGACAATCAATTGGTTTCTCGTTTGCATGCTGTTTTGAGACCGTTTTTGTTGCGACGTTTGAAGGCAGAGGTTGAAAAGAAATTGAAACCTAAAAAGGAAGTGAAAGTCTATGTTGGGCTTAGCAAAATGCAAAGAGAGTGGTACACCAAAGTTTTGATGAAGGATATTGATGTTGGTAAGTTATTGAATTTAAGAAAATAAATGTCACCCAGAAAATACATATTAAACATACAGGTCATCTAAGGCTATGCAAAAGATAAATAGAATAAAGGTTTTGCATATGTTGTAATAATTAAAATCTAATGTATTTTTCAGTAAATGGCGCCGGTAAAGTTGAAAAGATGAGGTTACAGAATATCCTCATGCAGTTACGTAAATGTTGTAATCACCCATATCTGTTTGACGGTGCTGAGCCTGGCCCGCCCTACACCACTGACGAACATTTAGTTTTCAACTGTGGTAAACTAGCCATTTTAGATAAACTTCTGCCGAAACTTCAACAACAAGACTCGAGGGTTTTGATATTCTCACAAATGACAAGGATGCTGGATATCCTTGAAGATTACTGTCTTTGGAGGCAATATAAGGTAAACATGACCTGTACATACATACATATATATACTACAAATATACTTAAGAAAATAGTAAATAAAATAAAATTTCAACACCTATTTCGTTAATGAAAAACAGGTATAGTTCTGTGTAGAATATATTTAAAAACAGAAGTAATATTCTATGGACAACTCAAATTTCAATCAATTTAATTTAAACCTTCAACCATTTTTGTGTGTGTTCATGGTCTCAGTCTAATGCTCGAACCAAATCTCCTCGTGACCACGGCTGCTGCAAAGCATCCGAACGTCGGGCCGTAGTTAAAAATCATTTTCAAATAGGTTTAACCAGTATATCGCGTTTTAAACCGTTAAAGAGTTTTATTTAAATGTGCACTACTCGCGTAAACTATAGACAGTATTCGAATCAGAAGTCACCAATGTGTTACTTGATTAATTATTATTTTGGAAATATTTTCGTTAGATAAGTTTTAACGTGATTTCCGTTTTAGTATTGTCGTTTAGATGGTCAAACACCTCACGAAGATAGAAATAGACAGATTGAAGAATATAACGCAGAGGGAAGCGAGAAGTTCATATTCATGTTGTCAACCCGAGCTGGTGGTCTTGGGATCAATCTCACCTCTGCTGATGTTGTTATTATTTATGACTCTGATTGGAATCCTCAGATGGACTTACAGGCTATGGACAGAGCCCATCGTATTGGACAAAAGAAACAAGTAAGTTATTTTGAAATTAAAAGAAATTCATCCTGAATAATCTTTTAAGATATACTTTTCCCTACAACAAATAACTTGGAATGGCCTTTCAAATTTTTATTTAATGATTAATATACTTCTATTATATACTATATATACTAGGCAATCCTTATAGGTCGTAAATTGACAAATAGATGTTTAATTTATACAAAGTATTAGTGTAAGTCTGAGGAAACAATGCACAATCACAGCTTTGTATGCTGTTGCTTTACTTCTGAGCTGATACTTCTTCTTCTTGGGTTGGATTAAAAATATCTTACATAGAGGTGGTTTCCAGGTACGCGTATTTAGGTTAATAACTGACAACACGGTAGAGGAAAAGATTGTAGAGCGAGCAGAAGTGAAGTTGCGGCTCGATAAACTTGTGATACAGTCAGGCAGACTAGTTGACATCAAGAACCAGCTTAACAAAGACGAGATGTTGAATATGATCAGACATGGAGCCAATCATGTCTTTTCCTCTAAAGATTCTGAGATTACGGACGATGACATCGATTCTATTCTAGCTAAGGGTGAAACTAAGGTAATGTATATATCTATATACAATCAAGAAACTGAATCTCAAATAAAAATAATTTTAATACATTTTTTATCTGGAATTTCGATATTCCTACTATCCATTAATATCCAGATTTCCAGATGAAGACCGACATGTTTTAAGAAAAATTAGAAAAATATGGGGATCAAACCCATGACATTATTAGCCATGCTACACCAACACTTGAACACCAACAGGTTCTTTCAACGTTATAACTTCTCTTAAACTTAGAATATTCTCTGTAGAAAAATATATACATGTCATATTTTTTTGTATTAAGAATAGAAAATACATAACTGACCAGTATATCCTTTGGCGTTTAAACAAACTTAGCTATGATATAAGTTTCTGTAATTCTAGACTGAAGAATTGAAACAGAAGTTGGAGAGCTTAGGTGAATCTTCTCTACGCGCCTTCTCGATGGACACGCCTGGCGCAACCACCGATTCCGTCTATCAGTTTGAAGGTTTAATTATTTATTTTATAAATATTTATTTTATTAATTATATGATAATAATTTAGTTTATTTGGATGTTTACAAATACTGAACAGAATTTCTGAATGATTTTTCAATTTAAATGTCCGGTTTTGGCCTGAAACGGGCATGACTTAAACAATGACATTCAGGTGAGGACTACAGGGAGAAGCAAAAGATACTCCCAATCGGCAACTGGATTGAGCCACCGAAACGCGAACGTAAGGCTAACTACGCGGTAGACGCGTACTTCCGCGAGGCTCTTCGCGTCTCTGAGCCCAAGGCGCCCAAGGTACAGGTAATTAAGTGTAAAGAGCTAAGGACTCGCAAGTTAAATAATCCACTTTTCGTTGATGGCACCTATCAAGCTTTATATATATTACCTATATACGTAGTAATTCTGACCCATTTTACTTTTATTTCGTATTGCAAAACATCGTAGACCGAGTGATCAGACTAATTTTTTTTTTAATGATAGAAATGGACGATGCATGGCCTTCATTTGATGGTAGGTGACATACCCCAAGCATATAAACAAGAAGGGCTGACTACCTATTTTGGATTTCGTTATTTGGAAATCCAGTCTGAAATCGAAACGTGACTAAACTTCACGGCTTTTTCATCTGTGGACGGTGGTTCGTGACCCGGACGGGATTTCGATTTCGTGGAATCTACTCGTTTAATATCCAGATGAAGTACAACGTGTTTGAAAAAAGCTATAAATTGATTAGTAAAGTGTTAGACCCTGTTAGAATCGAATCCACGACTCCTTGATATTATATAAACTGTTATATAAACTGACCATTTTCCGAATTCTCCACTCCTCTCCTTGGAAGATTATATTATGCAAGTTTTACTTTGTCTTTTCAAATCTTCTATTCTAAATTTTAATCTCTGATATGTACCATATTATCAGCCATATTTTTTTATGATTATTTGTTTTCAGTAGTTAGACATTATAAAATTCATATTAAATGATTTACGCAGACAACTATCACATACTTATTAGCTCTTTATACTCTTAAGTATTTATGTAAGATGTTTTTATTAATTTCAGCTTAGTAGTATATTTTAGTAGTTCGCTTTATCTGTAGTAGTACATACATAGGGGTTAAAATTTAATTAAAAATTATAAGTAGAAAACGCAAAATAAGAAATTGCTTTGCTTGATCTCTCAAAGACATACATAGTGTGTAAAAATTGTTTGCATTCGTAATATTGACCCCAATGTATTGTACTGATTTTAAGAATGGTGTTAAGCTAATATGCTATAAAAATACCTACAGGCACCAAGACCTCCCAAACAACCGATCGTTCAAGACTTTCAGTTCTTCCCACCGCGTCTCTTCGAGCTCCTGGATCAAGAAATATATCATTACAGAAAAACTTTAGGGTAAGGATAATATCAAAATCAAACAATATTTATTAATAAACTACTCGTTTAACAAAAAAAGGGAACGATTTTACGCATTTATATTAAGCATTTTAATAAGGCATATATAGAACTACATTAAGCATACAGACGTCGCTGTGTGATATAATAGTATATAAAATATTATATATGCAATTAAAATAATACAAAATTAAACATTTTGTTATTTTATTATTTGTTACATGTGCAATAACATGAAAGCACTATATACTTGGGCACCTGCCCGAGCCGAAAATTTGTTCAATTTATTTTCGATTTTTAAATTTTGTTATTAATAAATGTACGACAGTTTAATCTTGAATGCTTCAGGTATAAGGTGCCGCGTAATCCTGAATTGGGACCGGACGCCGCAAAAATACAAAGAGAAGAACAGAGGAAGATAGACGAAGCAGAATCTCTGTCTGAAGAGGAAGTGCAAGAGAAGGAACAGCTATTGACTCAAGGTACTAGTTATATTTACTTTTAAATGCTAAATGTAACTGTAATTTATAGCTTTTTAAGATAAGTAACATTTACGTTTCAATATAACAATTATACAATTCACAGGATTTACAAATTGGACGAAAAGGGACTTTAACCAGTTCATCAAAGCTAATGAGAAGTATGGTAGGGATGATATTGAGAACATCGCTAAAGATGTTGAAGGAAAGACTCCAGAGGAGGTAGGTTTTATCAAGTTTAACTTGATTTTTACATATGGTTAATTTAATTATGCTGCTTAGAGTAAACAGTATTGTTAAGTTGAATTAATTATTGAATAATAGTTATTATTCAATAATTATTAGCTGGTTCCATCTTTACAATAATTTAATCACAAAAACCTTACTTTCGAAGTAATAAATAACATAACACTGAACTATTTGAAAGAAAAACGGATTGACTATTCAATCAGGCAGAGGCACCCCTTAGGCAAGTTGTTGGCACAACTAAACTCCGTTGAAATAAGGCGCGCAGGCACTTGCCACTAGTGCTTATCCCCTTCTTTATGACGTCATCTCAGTATTCCTCTAACAATATAGTAAGTAGAAGGAGTAATTATTATTAAATTATATTGTAAGTCTTAAACGCTTATACAATGCAGGTGATGGAATACTCAGCAGTATTTTGGGAGAGATGCCACGAGCTTCAAGATATAGACAGAATCATGGGACAGATAGAACGCGGGGAGGCGAAGATACAAAGGAGAGCCTCAATAAAGAAGGCTTTAGATGCGAAAATGGCCAGATACCGAGCGCCGTTCCACCAATTGCGAATCTCATATGGAACAAATAAGGGAAAGAATTATGTTGAAGAAGAGGACAGGTTGGTTCCCGTTTACATCACATATCCTACATAACTTTGAAAATAAAGTACAATCAAAATCTATTAAGATTGAAAAAAAATTAATGACACTGGCGGAACTTGAACCGGTACCTACGGCTTTCCGTGCTGCTGCTCTAACTAATAGAGCTTCAATGTCTTATGCTTTGCAGCTTTAGAACATATTGTAGATGAAATTACATGATGATGTTTATTCTACTATAATATCTTATTTTTCTTTTTTTTTTCAATTTAAATATATTTTTTTATATAGTCCTTTAACATGTGAAAAGCAAAGTTTTTAAAGAAAGTACATGACAACACACAAACATGTTATACATAGATATAACATATTTGTAATTTAACATTTTGTATAAATGTTTAATATTATTTGTAGAAGTAAGACTGCAGATTTAATATGTGGATTGAATTACAGATTTCTGGTATGCATGTTGCATAAGCTGGGTTTTGACAAGGAGAATGTGTATGAAGAGTTGCGTGCTGCTGTACACGCGGCGCCGCAGTTCCGTTTTGACTGGTTCCTCAAGTCTCGTACTGCCGTGGAATTACAGCGCAGGTAACAAAATTACGTTTAAATAAATATAATATATTCCTTAAGAATTGTATCAATAGATAACTGAAGCATATCTTGATAAGTAAACTATTTTTTCCAGATGCAATACTCTCATCACATTAATTGAGAGAGAGAATCAAGAGTTAGAAGAAAAAGAACGTGCCGAGAAGAAGAAGAAGAGCGGTAGTGTTAATCCTAATACTCCCGGCGGTAATAACGCCGGTAAAGGTGCCAGCGCCGGCAAGAGAAAAGCCGACAACACACCCGACACCGCGCAGAAAAACAAGAAAAAGAAAAAATGAGGCCCGGTGAAAATGCTTTTTAGAAAAATGAACATGTTTCAGAAAAAGCGATAAATCTAATCAGTGTTTTATAGCGATTAACTTTTTAAATGTTTGAATTTAATCGTGCGTAGTGAAGTATCTTACAGTGAGTATCTGCGTATTTCTGGGGTGAACATTCCCACACATAATGGTAATAATTTATGTAGCTTTAATGACATTTTTTGATGAAATAAACGTTTTAAAACATCACTGTTATGTTTTATTATCAAAATAACATATACGAACGCAACATCAATAAAATAACTCCTCAGATCGCTAGCAGAGTAGATGAAGGGAGGAATAGAAAACAAACATTAGAACGCAACGAGATTCGTATTCGTAGGTTGGGATCATGCTACAATATTGCTTATGGTAAGTGTCAAAAGTAATTTATTCATGTAGGGTAACTATGTACACTTCGTCACAAAATTAAAGAATCTAACTTTACATTTACTACCAGTTCTCAAATCAAGGGCGTAGAACGAACGAGAACTGGCAATAAACTCGCCGTCACTCCTGTGCTAATGGTACGTCATAAAGATTAAGAATCTATTATGCATACCCATTCATTACTGTTAGGCATTATAATTGTCTTATAAAATATCAGGTATTCGAGTACTTTAGCTTATTACCAATATGCTATTAGTAGTATTAGATAATAAAAAAATACCAAAAACATATCAAAGAAAAGAAATATTATTATTCCTCATAGATAGCTACCATAATATAATTCTTAACTATTACAGATACCAAGTACCTAACATAACATTTGAATACTGGTGTTACATTTTAATTATTATATCTTAGAAATACTGACAAATTAGGTATTTTTTTTTTGTATTAATGTCACGATAACATTAAGTCATTAAAATATACAGCATTATAATTTATACCCTCTAATAGAAAAAGGTATATCATGATGATGAGTTAAAGAGATTACCATCAAATTAGTGTTCATCCTCCGAGGTACGTGTTGAGCCTTACTTCAAAACTCCGGGATGAGAAATTTACTTTAAAAGTTTCCAGATGTTGTAGTAACATTTTGACCCCGAGATCTCGGAATCTGAAGTCGAGCTCATTTACCGCTGCACCAACAAGGCGTCCATCACAAATCAGAGGGATGATTATAATATATTCTCAGACCATAGACAACCATACAAGACACACAAGAACTTAGTTTGACTAAGGCGAGTGGTACTGGGCTAAATATTATTTATTAAGTAAATATTTGCCATCCAACACAGTCTTTCATATTTCTTCTCCTACCTTAGATGAGATCACAATGTAACTGGCCACTTAAGTAAGTATCACTTGCATTATTATAGCCCTTTAATAGTTCCCATCTCTGGGTATTGGGCCACCTAAAAGAAGTATATAGCCCTGTAATAATCTAATACTAGCCATGTGTGTGTGTGTGCTGTTGACACATGACAACTTCACTGTTCTTAACACACAACACGTTAATTTACTGGGATCGCTTCCTTTTAGAATGAACATAGCAATATTAAATATGTTTTTCCGACCGAAAGGTAGGATAGGCTGCATACACGGTTCTCCATATGACGAAGGTCATCAGGAAACAAGCAAGCAATAGTCCCAATAATCGGAGCATATTTTTTTAGATACCTTAAAACACTTAAGTTGTATATAGAGGGCTCTAAGTCAAAACTTAACGACTTATGCTACCACCTGCCATAGAGTAATCACAGTATTCGTCCTTCCTAGATAAATCTTGATTCTCTAAAGAATAGAGTGCCTCATCACCCGAGTCCAACAAGTCAGTAAGTCAAGAACTGCTATTCTCAATATTCTCTTGAAAATTATTGGCGTTTGTTTGAAAGGGGGCACCTAGACCATAGAGATGTCCACTTGTACTTTCAATGTTGCCATCAAAGAAAATCTAAAAAAAAATTATATATAAAAAACAGGCTAAGTCCCAACTGAAACATTGTTTAAAGATCTTGAATACTACACAATGTACATAAGTTGGTGGTAGGCATCAAAATAAACATGCCAAAGAATGACCCTTTAACCTTACCTCTTTTATAAAAGGAAAAACATCCTCTATAAAGGGGGAATAAAAAATGTGTGAATGGTTAGCAGATAATGTGGATTGATAAACCGGCCTACTATGGGTGTCGCCATTAGAACAAAAAATACCTCTTTGATTTTAAAGAAAGCCATTCCAGTCAAGTGTGAGTCTGATCCAGCTTGATGTTGAGGTCCAACTCTCCTCAATTCCAACTGGTCGGCAACTTCTTGCAATCCACCCTTAAGATTCTTGCATAGTTTCATTAAGTACTAAAATAACGAAAAAAAGTTATATTCATAATAGGTTGTGTAAAAATTGTGTTTCCTTCTAACAAATTAAATTTATTATACACCCACATATCTTCATTAATCATATTCATTATAATATTTTGAGAGTTTATGTAGCAAAACTTGTTGAAAACAATTTTGACTACTTATACATTATCTATATTCACTTACTTTAACATCATATACTGTCGGAAAATATAGTCGCAGGCTTTCAAAGAAGTCATTTTCCTCTTGAGGTAAATTACGATCAGTCAGAAGTTTTAGTAAATAGCCAAAGTCATAGCCTGAATGAAAGCTCAACCAATTGATGTTGTCCATTAGAACTATACCTGGAATAGTAAAATTTTTTGGATGTAATATTTATTGTCATTATAAATTATGCAAATCTTATTGTGGAGTATGCTATTAATAATAAGTAACAAGATATACTAATACTAATTTAGCATGGTTCTTTTAAAAAAAAGAGAAGACGCTTGTATAGGAATATATGTCATGTTCAACTTAGTTATACCATCAGTGAAAATTAAGTTGTTACAGTTGCTTATTTATATACCTGATGACATAAGCAGCTCGGCAAATTCCAAGGGTTCTATACCATGTTCCTCATGTTCTCTGAATTTTAATCCAGAGTTTTGTAAAAGATCTATTGAGTCTTGAGCATACATATCCTCCCTAGTAACAATAGAACTGTTGAAAGCTTATAAAGAATCTTTTCAAAATTAAAAATAGTTCAGAATTGCAATGATAAACTTACTGTAAGTTAAATTTAAAATTAAACTGCCAGGTAGAACAACCAGGTGCCGTTTTACCATTCTCATCCATAAATGTGAGACCGAGCTGTATAATTCTTAATAGGTCTACATTGCACCTGTTGAAAGTGTTTCTAGTTAGTTGTAATCCTAATGTTTACAAAACATTGGATTTACCACACTAATATACCTCAATAGTTGATACTGATAATCAGCTGTAGATCTAAATTCGCCAATTGGTCGAGCTACAACTCCTGGAAATTCAGTGTCCATAGCTACCCAATGGTATTTCTGAACAACCTTTAAAAGGAAATATGATTCTCGTTATAACGTTTGGAAATTAAAATTATCGATTCGAAGAACCTATATGTATTTTTATTGCTTTCATGGTCACTTACTAAATGCTTACCTGTCTTATCACATGAAACTCTTCATATAGATTGTGATTCCAGACATTTTTAATTGCATTATCGTCGCGAGAAGTCAGTAAGCTAAATTTCGCGGTAATCGGCGAGGACATTATAAACTCCTATAGCGTAATACGAGACAACTTTGACACAATAAGCACAAGAAGGATATAAATTACAACATATTATTTAAAAATGTATGATGCTGAAGTATTTGTGATACAATAGAGCTTCACAAAGTTATTAAAAATAAATATTTAAAGACCCTTGATAGAGGTCTGATTATTTAGACCTGAGTCCTGACTGCTGACCACATTCTTTACATATTTTTCAAGTTCACGCACCAATCATCGGTCACCTAAGTAATGACACAATAAATTGTCAATGTCAACTATCAAGTAGATACAAAAGTATTGATCACTCATTGATTTACCTATTGAGGAAGTTTTTAAGTTCCTGACGTGTCGTTTCGTGATGTATCATTTTGGTACATTTAGTTAGATCTTGATAGACAATTATATTCCTTGTTTGGTAGCGATCATACTTGTAATGTGTACATGTTCTGACTGCTTCTGTTGTGCCACACCCAAAATGTCAGAAATCCTGAGGCCCGATTGTGTCAGAGACGCGGGCGGGGGAATAGCGACGCATTAACACGTCAGACAAATGTACACTTGCTAGTGTCGTGTTGTGATGAGTCAGAGTTTCCTATTTATTATTTTCTCGTTTAGTTATAAATATGGACGATTTAATCGAAATTGTAAGACAATATAATGTTATTTATGACTCAACATGCAAGCACTATAAAGATCACTCTACTAGGATAGCTGTTTGGGAAGAGATAGGACAAAAATTAAACCAACCTTGTGAGTATCCTATACTCCTTTTTTTAACTATATCTAGTTCCACCTTCTATAATTTATACTAACAAACCTATAAGCCTTACAAAATATAGGTATTGGACTCATAAACTTAAATGAAAGTTTTTAGTGGCATTCCTATTTACATTAATTAATCTATTAATCCACTAGTTCACTTTATATTATTATATATTTTGTCTTTCCTGAGTATTTTGGATTGGAAGGTATTTGGCAATGTCTCGTCTATCTACCATAGGTTTTAAAAGAAGATACACAATAAGGCTCTGTAAGACTGTATTATACTCTTTATCTACTACCTAACTCTTTTTATGCAATGACTTATTTCTTAGCTTGGCTATTTTTCATATTTCCACGGACTCGTTGGTCTAATGGTACCGATGTATGGTTAATAATCAACGGGTGGTGGGTTCGATCCTCACCGGGTCCAAGAAGTTTCTCATTTTATATTTTTTTATGAAACATGCTGGACATCGTCTGGAAATCTGAATATTAAATGGGTGGTAGGAATGTCGAAATTCTGTCCGTGTCATGAACCAAAGTCTACGGATGAAAACGCCGTGTATTTTAATCGCGTTTCGGTTTCAGTCTATGGTTTTCCGAACATCCAAAGCCAAAATAGTTACAAAACAGCGCGTCTTGTGAAGATGTCATATGGCTGGTATTTTACCTCCAATCAAGTGTACCTCGTACTCTGTCCTCCTCTATCATAAAAAAACTACCTATAAAAGGAAATATACTATACATATACTCTACTCTAAACTGTTATAGTGGCATATACCTTGAGTATAGTAGTGTAATAGCGATATTTATTATTTGCGGTCATATCCACATATTTGTTAATTAAATTCTGTTTCAGCGGAAAAATGCAAAGACGACTGGGATAAATTACGCAACGCCTATATTAACGCACTAAAGCGTCGGAGAAAAAAGAAAAGTAGACAAGCTGGTGTTATTCTTACACCATGGAAATATGAAGAGCAAATGAGTTTTTTACTTCCATTTATAAAATCAAGGCAATCAACAAACCACATGTCGCGTCCAGAGTCACCAGAATATTTTGAGCCATCAAATTATATTTCAAAGTCACCAGAAGATTTCGAGCCATCGAATTATCTTCAAAAGTCACCAGAACCTGAAAGCCCTCAAAGTTTTCAATCGGAACACCGCCCGGAAACACCATATTCTGCACGTCTTCACATTACAAAAGGTCTCGTCGAAAGAAACCAAACTTGCAGGATCTATATTATTTAATGAAGTCTTCACGCAGCTTAAGACACCACAAACCCAAAGATCAGGAGATGGACGAAACAGATATGTTTTTTTTGAGTATGAGTAAAGCTCTCAAACAACTACCAAAACTAGATCAGACAAAGATCAAGTTAGATTTGCACACTGCTATATCAGAAGCCGAAATACGTGATATTAAAAGAATGGAACAGATAAACAAAGAAATATGAACCGCTTTTCCTTTATGGGAAATGAATTTCCTAAATAAAAAAAGATTTTTCTTTATTAATCCCGTTGTTTATAATCTTGCCGAAATTTTTTTATGACGATTTACGTGATAGTTGCATTCAAACTACATAAGGATAATTACTTGTTTGTGTAAATTTTTCACTCTAACAAAGTTACATCAACTTTGCTTTCAGTTAAATGATGAGCTATTTGTATATGTCAGCAAAGAAAAGCCTTACTTTTACGTAGTTCTCAAAAAACTATATTCGTTTTCTTTATAATACGATGTTTCTTTACAAATGTATATTAGAGGAACGAGATTCTACAATATCCTATTTAATTTTTATATTTTCTAAGTTATAAGCAATTGACTAGCTTTAAGGTGACGGGCCTTATTTCCCACAGGTCCAAGATACGTGGTGTAAAAACGGGTAAATGTTGCACAAAAGCTGAATCTTCAAAGCATGCCGACCCTAGATTGATAAATAAAAGAAATATAGATTATAAACACATTTATGTTTTAATTGGGATGACAATATTATGAAATAGGCTTAAGTAATAATAATAAGTATTATGACTTAGGTAAGATTTTTTTATTTAGATTTTATCATAAACTAAAATTTAGTTACAATAATATTTGATAAATATGTAAACACAATTTCAAATATGTAGACAAACAAATATGCAGTTCATCGCTAGAAACGAATGGTTCACTTGGAAAATTAATATTAAGAATAAATTTCACGTTACTTATAAAACAATACATTTTATGACTATACATACTCCGAGCAAATACCATATGTTATGTAACAACTCATATATTAGAATTGTAAACTGAGGCAATTGACAAAATGTTAAACTTTTAAAAATGTCCTCTATTTATTGAAACGAACAATTCTGTAACCAATATGCGGGCATCTAAATGCTAAATTTACTGGCAAAAATGACAAAAGAAAACATAAAAAAGGAAGTGCCAACTTATTTTGCCATATCTTGTCGCTTTCATGATAAAATTATTGTACACGAAATAACGTACACTGCTTTATGTTTAACTACATATATAAACGTTTTTATAATATTACGTAAGACGACTGTTGCATATTACCTAATGTCATCCTTAACGACCTCCGTCAGCCTGTGAACAAAATATATGTGTAAAAAAGCATGTATGTACCTATGTAATCCATAAACCATTTATTCGTTGTCTGTAGTAACATTTTTATGTACAAATATACACAGTCAGTAGTTTACGCGAGTAGTACACATTTAAATAAAAAATTTTGACGGTTTAAAACACGAAATATATAATTTAAATAAAACACTTCAACGGTTTAAAACGCGATATATTATTAAACTTATTTGAAAATGATTTTTAACTTCCCTTTGATGTTGAAGCCGTGGTCAGGGGAGACCAGCTCTCAAAGCATCCAAACTCGCCAATTAAAAATCATTTTCAAATAAGTTTAACTAATATATCGGTTTTAAACGTTGAAGTGTTTTATTTAAATTGTACTATCGCGTAAACTATAACATACGAAATATATAGTTAAACTTTATATACATACGTGAAATATATGTTATTATAGTGTTGTAAACTATAAGTGTTGAATTTGAATACAGATATAATTTCAAGCACATATTTTACCATTGCAATTATTTTTGTAAGCACCGTGAATAAAATTTTAAATCTGAAGTCTTAATTACTCATTTAATTTAGTCCAACACCAATGGAAACATAAGTAGTATAATATAAGAATAGTCTATTGGGTGTTAAAGTGTACAGTCAACCGTGCCAAATGGATAGAGTGAAATGTTAAATTAATTAAAAGTTACCGGTCGACACTATAATTTGGGAGACTTGCGCACGGTCAATGCTTTGGCTTGGTTACTTTAGGTATTGTTATAGTCGGCGGTAGCGGTAACAAATTGTTGCCATATCTAGCGTGAAAATTCGCATCAACCGAATCGATCACAGTTAAATTTCTAGTTAGACCTTCACATTTCTGAAAGAAACAATGGCCCAAGCGAATAAGCATTATTTAGATAATCAAATCGAACACTATTTCGACGAACTTACCATTGTTTCAGTCTTTTTGCGCAAATTTGATCTAGATAGTGTAAGAGCTAACTCCGATTGTAGTCTGCTTGTGATTGATTCGTCATCTAATAACTGAGATCCGTTCTTTTTATCTCCATTGAGGAATTCTAGTTTGGAAGGTTCTCGTCTGCCATTCATATGGTTGACGTATTCTCCAATAGTGACTGATACAGGTCGAGAGTGTTTTTTCATTGTCGCAGTTCCATTCGGCGCTTTTAGGAAGTAATTTGATGGTGGTTTTGGAGGTACATTTGCTGGATTCTGAAGTTTATACGACTCTAACGAATCTACTTCAGCGTTCGCTTCGTTTAAAGACTTTGATTTAATTGGAAACTCTTTGTTGTTATAGTCCGGAGTAGGCGTTCGGAGTAGTGCGCCATTTTTCTTGTAATCCGGTGTATTGATAATATTTGTATCCTCTTTCTTTGGTTTCTGTTCACCATTTAACACGTCGGCCTTGTTGTGACCGTTCGTGACCGGCATCTGTAGATATATAAATATAAGCTTTATTTATAGTTTTATACAGTGGATGCAAAAAGTAGGTTGAAATTAAAATTTTTTGTACATTTAGAAACGAAAATTTGAAAAAGATCATACTAATGTAAATTTATGAGTAATTGTAATAAGGAATGAGCTTTAAGCTCTACTTCGACGATTAAATAAAAATATTTTTATGTATATGGCAAGTTATGGAAAAGCATTATAAGATCAAACCAGGCAATACTTACAAAGAGCTAATAAAACGTATCGTTTCCTAACGAAGTTCTATGCATAAATAGAACTATAAAAAAATAATGTCAAAGCGCTTTGTATCGGTGTCTTAATGCTGGCATTATTACTAACTTATCATGAGAGCAAAACCACAGGAAAAGGAGAGTATTTATAAAACTTGACTTACAGGAGGAGGGGGCGGTGGTTTCTCAGTGGAGTGTAATCTTTCTTGAATTGTGTTGTCATGGTCTGTTGAGTCCTCACTGAGTTTTCTCAGACGTAAAGTATGTTGACGATCCTGCAATAGAATTGTCGGTCATTCAATCCATTTACCTCAAAATGCTTGCGATAGTGGTATTTCCAAAACGTGACGTAAAATATAGGTGCATTAGAATTAAGAAGGCTTGTAAAGTTTTTTCTTCGCATGTTTTGTCTCGAATAAACAATTACTTTTAAACGTGAAAAAAATAAAATAGTATTCTATTTGTTTATGAAAAATTCTTAAGTAATTCTAAAAGGAATTATAGATAATTAGGATTTGCAGAACATAACGCGATTAAGACTACGCGAAGTATGTAGTACCTAGATACTCAATGACAACTGTAAGTGGATTGAATGTAGGTGAAAGAGTTGTGTGTAGATATTACCTAATAATGAACTGGGTTTTAAGAGCATTGCAACTGCAACGTGTCGGGTGATTAAAAAAACCTACGTTTAACCGGGAAAAATCATTGAGGATTGAGGATATCACATAAGTCATAAAGTTATGGTTTTAATTTGCGTTGGAGCCTTATACTCAATACACTGTTAACGGTTTAAATCAAGAAATATACCAGTTATCTTTGGATACAACGACCGAAGGTATTGATCCTCCATGATGTCATCAAAAGTGTTTAATTCAATGTGAAAACTACAGACAATACTTAAGAATGTAACGTTTGAAGATAAAGTACGCGAAACCAGTTCTGGTATCGTATTTTAGTTCATTCCCTTCTGCGAAGAACTTTCAACTAAAAAGGCAAATGAATTTGAAATGACTCGTGTTGCAAGTTCACCTTGTCCTCAGCTAATCGGCTTCAAAGCATGGTCATTAACTTGGCTATTTTAGTTAGTATTCGAGAACTAGCTTTAGCTGTTAAAATATTAATTTACTACATCCTATCTCCCTATACTACCTACGAGTACGGTTTATGATGACCTTTAAGACTAACTAACATAATAACGCGGTTTTTCAAATAAACCAAGATCAAACAGGTAGATGACGTCACACGGTAATGCGCAGCTCAAAGTGTAACTAATGCTGGTCTGACTTTTTGTAAGTAGCTATGTAATTAACGATCGCGTTATTTAGAACTCATTATAATGGTGTGATGTAATACGTCGAATTAAATATACGAAAAATATGCTCAGTTACTAAGTGGAAAGAGTACGTGCTTCTAAGTTATTTAATTTCAAGGGAACTAAGTTAAAATAAACACTAGGCATATGAATCCATAATTAGGCTGGCTATTAAGATCTATGCTATTATTCTGTATATGCTAAAATGTAAATATAAATTATCATAATAATGTTTATGTAAAAAACATAAGTAGGCTTACAAACGTAGATCATTATAATTTTTACATCGATCAGTTTTCCCCGTACCTCGTAGGAGAGCAGGGAGGTTTCATAATGTAGTTATGACTACTTATATACGTACACAAATATGAACAGGTAGATATACATGGCATGACCGATATCATTTCTTATCAATATCGAATGTGTCATGTTTTTTTGCATTTAGTACGTAGTTTTACGTATTGAAATTATCTGATTCCAGTAATCTTTACTAATGCAGATGTAATGATATAATATATAAACTACACGGTAACATTATATTTATTACATTGGAAACAAAAAAAAATGAAATATAAAATAATACTAGTCAAACTTTACATATTAGAAACTATATGTACTGCTTATCAACAAGTGTATTAGATATGTTGAAAAACTCAATTTTCTTGTTTATGCAAAATTATTAAATTTCTACTTTCTTCACTTACTTCATAACACTGAATGCTAAACAACGGCTTCGACTTGTGACTTTTCTTCATGTTTATGAAACTTAACACACCCAACTCTACATTTGCGACGCGTTACAACTAATGATAAGGATAATAATTTCTCCGTCGAATCAAATGAACACAGGCTGATGCGTGAAGGTCGAATATAATTTTTCCGGTTGCGAGAGAATTGAGGATTTTGCTAGCACTGTTGTGTTTACTAGTTGTAGCGAACCAACCCGAACGCTCGCGGCTAAGCGCTGAACTGACTGAGAGCCAGGCGACGCGCGCGCGCAACGCGCCGGGCCGGCGTTATCAGTGCACGGCACAATCATACAAAATCACTGTTCCATTACCGAAGTGTGGTTTTACAATCATGCAGAAAATTGATGATTTATTGCAACTATTCAGCACAAACAATGGGAGCGCTAAGAATTATTTCTATCCGTTAAAATTGCAAAATTTTTCATGACGCCGCAACCACAAATAATGGAGACGCAACGATGTTTTGTAATGAAGATTTACGCTGCGTTAATTTGGCTTTTGCCTTGAAGGCAATATCTTAATTGGAATGGTTGTTCGTTTCCTAAATCTTTTTAAATCCAAATTTTATAGACACGAAAATGTTATAAAATTGCCTCTACAAATAAAATTGTTAATAAATGCACTTTCACAGTCATTGATCTAGCTTCTAATATAAAGCAAATGGAGCGTATATTATAGGGCACCTTAATTTCGAAGAGCGAACAGTATTTAATAAATTCAGTTTAGTTATGGGAGCGGTATAATAAGACTTGGTCATCTAATTGCCAAAAGTCGTAGGGGAATGAAGAAGAAAGGAAGAGGTTTCTCCAAATAGTCAATCCTATTGCGATTCCTCAGGGAAATTTTTTGCACCAGTAGTATATTTTTTAGGAATGTTATATTTTCTTTTAGACTTTTAGAGGCATCATACAAGCCTCCTAAATCTTCAATCCAATAGTTTTGTCTCAGTCTGACAAATTCAAAGCATAAAACGTAAATACATTTTTTTTTTATTATTAATTGTATTACAAATAATCATTATTAATGATAAATAATCAATCACTGATATCTATTAAGATAAATATCCAATAATAAAAGTACTTTTCTGTTCAAACAAAACAAGAGAAAGAAGAGTAAATATCGAATGGTAACTTTTTTAAATCAATGGCATGTAATATGATTTTGTCTGTATTTATCATTTTATCTACGTGTATAACAAATTTCGATCAATATTCGCGACAGGTGATAAAAATGAAGGTGAAAACACTTCACAATATTGTATGAGTGCAGTAAAGAAATGTCGATGTCTGTAACATTAATAAAAATATGTTTGCATGCCAAAGACAAACATTTGGTTTACGTGATGTCTACGTTAAAATGTCTCAACACTATACAAAAACTAATAAGATTCTCTATCGGCCTTCTTTGAAAATATCAAAATTTAATTATCCAGTTAATTAATAATCAAACTAATTTAGGTGTCGTCTACGGACGCATTAATGAAGTAAATTAATAATCCATACAATTAACTACATAGATGTTACGGTACCAAAGGTTGGCAAAACACCTTTAATGTAAAACAGTGGTTTTGTGCTCCAATACGCGCTTATGTAAGAAAACAATACTGACATTTGTCGAAGTATTACGTCGCGCACGATTCATAAGTTATAGGTAAGTTCTCTGTGAAAATGTGACTCTTTGAAGATTGTAACGCAGTATACAAAAACCGCAACTATTCTATTCAGATAACAATATTTTATTCCCATCAATAAATAAGGATCGCCTGGTAGAGATCGTTCTATAGCGATAAGGCCGTTACTCTCCATACTTTATACTTCATAGATATTGTTATTATTTTTAGTTCATTGTAATTGTGTTCGTGTGTTATGTTAAGAGTATAAATAAATATATTTTATAACAATTCGGTAAAGCGTATTTTTAATTAAATTACAGTGTGTACATATCTGGAAACCTTACGATTTAAACATTGTCGTCCAGAAATTCCTGCTTTTAGACCAGAATTTCTGCAACGTTCACAACTTAAAATATTTTGGTTCTTCATAACGTCAAGATAAGTTGTTGATAAACGTTAAACTTAGGTATTTTGATTGATGACATAAGATTGAAGATATTGCTGAAATGCCCAAGTGCTGATAAAGAACTTCTGTGTATCTTGAGTGTTTTTGTATGTTTTTGTTTTATTATCAATACCACAAATAAAAGATGATTTCATAATTTTTGTGAACTTGTACATAACTTAATTTCTGTAACTATATGGATAGTATTTATATTATATTGGTGTTTAAGCTATGTTTAGTGGTCGAAAATTATTTTTTAAATTACGATAACATAGTCGTCGCGAACGCCACAGTTTGTATTTTACTATAATGTTCGTTCACAGATACACATGTGATAAAATTATACTAAACAAACTCCACATGTTTGTCAAACTCATTTGCGTATGATAAAGGATTTTATAACGGTTAAAAAAAAGTTGAAAACGAGGATCGTTTTGATTTTTACAATTTTTTTTTTATCACAAGTCAGGTAGTCAAACTAACTAAAAGGAAACAAAACTTAAGGATATTTAACTTAAACCTTTCCTTAAACGAGTCATTGTAATCAAAAGTTTATAAACGTGTTGGAAACAATACATTTTCTATGAAGCCACAATGTGTAAGAAGAGTCTAATTGCATATAAGATCTTTCGATATAAATGAGTAAGTAAAGATCTATCTAATAAATATAAGACGATAAAGTTACTTCCGTGCCTTCATAAGTGTTAAAAAGTATAATCGAGCCGAAATTAAATACTTTAAAATGTATTTTAAATTCTTATAAAACTCTCAGTCTATTTTACCTCGTAGTTCGTACTTACTCTAGTAAAAAATAAACAGATATGCGTATAACAACTTTTGTTTATATTTCAAATTTATAAATAAATGTCGCTAAATTTAAAAATTATGTTAAAAATTATGGAACCCTCGTGAACAGTTACAAATTTCACTGAATAAAAAAAATAATCTAACACTTACCGAACTATCACCATTTTCTTTGATGTTATTATCGCTTTCTGATTCTTGGTTGGCAAACATTTTTCTGTGGACCTTTTTAAATTCATCCATTAGGGCGTTGTGGTGTTTTTTCTTATCATCGTCTATTTTTGGAATATTAGGCTTCTTCGGTGTAATCGGAGGTTCTTTTTCGATTGTTGGTTTCTTCTTGTTCTAAAAAATATTTTCATTATAATTATAAATCGTAACGGGTACAAAATAATCAATTTGTTTTGTCAATCCGTAACTTATCCTTAACTATCTTAGGTAACGAATTTAATTGACACTTTGTTTCCATTCTATTGCTAAAATTCATATTTTATTAGAGCAATAGCGGAGAATAATTATGTCATGAAGTTCATTGACCATAGTTATTAGCAGCATTAGCAAAACACTTCCTCGTGACCACAGCTATAAAGCATCCAAAACGTAGAGATATAATTTGAAATTATTGAAATATTCACGTTTAAAACCTTCAAAAGACTACTACTACTACTACTAGAGTGTGTTTGTTGCGACGGTAAACGTAATATAATTAAAAACTGGTTGAAACGCAAACAGTATTAGTTAATCAATTTTAACTGCGAGCTGAGGTTTTAGATGCTTATCAGCAGAGATACTTTTCATTTTGACGTACCAATTTTCTCCTTTGTATTTCCTCGACAATGGCACTAGATAATGTGGCTGAACTAGATATACTCGTTGTATCTGAATTCATATCGTTTTTAGGTGGCACTGGATAGTTGCAATGCGGTTTTGCATTTTGAGTTGTGTGAACATTATGCACTTCGACAACTATCGTCTTCTTGTCATGATCTTTGTTCGACTGATTCGCCGCATAAACATTTTTATTTGAATTATCATAGCTACAATGCAAGACTGTGGTCGCACCATTTTCAGTCAAATTGATGATCGTTCTATTCAAGTGGGTGGTGACTTTGGCAGGTTCATATTCGTTTATTGTTTTATTTTTCATGTTTGTTTTATTTTCGTACGTGTGAGGGTTATTTGGTATACTAGGACTATCGTAATCTGGTTCTATATCAGATGGTGCATCGAAATTATGAATGTCTCCACTTTTCCAATCGAACTCCAGACTATCCCAGGTTCGCCGTTTTATTCTATTTGTTGAGAGTCTGAAACAAGCAAAAATTATTGGTAAGGTGTTATGTTGTATATGTACGAGTACCTAATCTTATATTATCAATAAGTAGGAAAATTTAAAATATGATGCTAGTTTAAGGTCTAAAGTTAAAATTGTTTAATATCTGACTAAATTAACGAACCTATCTGCTCTATCTGCGGCCTCCTCAGCAACACTTGCGAGCCTCCTGCGCAGTGCTGCAGGTGGAGCAAGAGGAATAACAGGCGCAACTGATGCTGGGCTTCTCTCGCCTGCAGCAGACGAGGCTGAGCTGTTGTAGCCGGAGCTCTCAGGCGATACAAGTTCGGTCCCGGCGCCTTCTCGTATTAGGAGCTCCAGTCTTCCACTAACTTTCATCGCTGACACCGCCTGGATGTAAAGAGATGATAGAAAAAAATACACCAAAAATATATTTATAGCAAGGCCTTATTATTCCCGAATCAAAATAGTAATTGTTTAAGAAATAAAACGCAAAGACCTAGCTTTATACAGTCTACGATATTCCGTCTCTTCTATAACAGAATATATATTTCATCGTTTAGTGCTACTTTGTCATAAACACCCAAATTTATTTTAAGCTTTAGTTCTTCGGCAATTCTACTTATAATATATATAGATAATACTTAACTTGCAAATGAAGTAATATTTAAATTCAGGTTACCTCGTTAAACGATATGTTGGAAAAATCTAATCCATTGCATGACAATATTTGATCTCCAGGTCTCAGACCAGCTTCCTTTGCTATTCCACCTTCACGTACGAACTGCACATAGATACCGGGTTTCCATTCAGGACCCTTGCATATCCTGTAAAAAGATGTATTATCAATTTACTTATAAAAATACTGTCTGTGCTTACGCGAGTAGTACACATTTAAATAAAACACTTTAACGGTTTAAAACGCTATATATGTGCGCCCGATAGTGGGGTTAAAAATTATTTTCAAATAAGTTTAACTGATATATATCGCGTTAGTGTTTTATTTAAATTAACTTATATTCAAATTAGTTTATATTGCTTTTCCAATTAATAACAAATATTATTATGAATTGTCGTTGCCTTTTTGATGTCCAGTTTTGGCCTGAAACGGGCTGACTTTTTAACTCACCCACAACCGAGCTTAGCCCTTGGCGGTACCAAGATGGACAGTCGCAAATCAGTTATGTGGTCAGTGTTATGGCAGAGCGTGGGTGATGAGGATACATCCGAAGCCAGCGATGTCCGCTCAGACACAAACTGCCAAGAGAGTGATTCGTATTCTTTCCTGTTAAAAATTATATGAGAAATAAAAATTTAACGTTTTTTATATTTCAATGTATATTTGAATAAGCGTTTAATACTCGTAATAAGCTTTATTCAAATAGTTTTAATTACATGCGCCAGCGCACCAGACCCGCAAAAGCAGTCAACAACCCAATGTCAACAATATTTCTAACTTTCCAATGACTATGTATATTTAAATGTTCTCAAAAAGCACCAATCGTTTTTATTGATTGATTGATTTTCTATTTCTACCGAAATTATTTTTACTGTTTCCGGGACTCAAATTCAGGTGATTATGATAATAATAATGATTTTTTACTTCGTTTTACTATTAAAAAAACAATCTAGGGCGAAAACTCGGGTGATTAAAAAGGTGTAAAGTTACTTACTCTCTAATTGGAAGCATTCCAACATCTGTAACAGAATAATTAATATTAGAAGTGTCATTTTTTCTATGATATATCTGCCAGATAATGGTCCACTGCTTTAATAATAAATTAAAGACCTTAAACGTAACGCTACTCTAATTGCGTTGAAGCTGGTCGGTGGTCCTAAATGACTACACTACTAAATATAATGATGACAAATGGCGCCAACTTGAGATACTTTTCAAAGCAAAGGGGTGATCACACATACTTTCAAACAATGGGCTGATACGATTTTTTTAAATACAACGAACCAAACGAACAACTTCTACGAGACCTCATACCACTAGACCAACGGGACATTTATATTAGCATGTACATAATACGCTGTATCATTTTTTGTAACGTAACATGAGTCTACGAAAGCTTATCAAGCTCTTACATATTCTCATGTATGCTCCACTTCCGTTATGTAATGTTCGCGTGTCCGTTACTATTGTCAACCACCACATTCATCATGCCTTCGACATGGCTTTACAACTGATTGGCATGTAATAACTTTGTGATCTCACAATTTACTATGCACACGCGCAATCTTTATATAAAATAACATATAGCTTAATTTTTCAAGAGAATCTTGCAGTTAACACAAAATAAACTGTAAAAATAATGAAGCCAATTTTCATTTCTAGGATAGACTTTAAAATAGTTCATATCTTTTAAATAAAACACTTTAACGGTTTAAAACATATATTACGATAAATACGAATATTAACGATATATTAGTTAAGTCGTGGTCACGGGTTTCCCCGTCGAGTCCCCCTACCCAAAGCATCCGAAACGTCATTTTCAAATAAGTTTAACTAATATATCGCGTTTTAATCTGTTAAAAGTGTTTTATTTAAATGTGTACTACTCGCGTAAACTATAGATAGTATTTAGTTCATATCTATTAATAAATCTAAATATTAAACATCTTTGAGGGCGTTCGTTGGGTGCGCAGAGAAAATGGTGCGAATACCTAAAAAATATATTAGTAATAACGATTTCTTATACGGTATATGTTTATCTTTAAGATTAACTTGCATAAATAACGGTAAGGGTTCGACGCCGTGGGAAAAAGCTATAACTTATGATGAGGATGTTAGCAAAAACAAATTCTGGAACCTGAAATAACGAATCGCGGTTGAAGTCGCGGACACAGTTCGTATATAAGTATATTAAATACTCCCCTACTTTTCATTTGAATAAAAAACTTAAAAGTACAGGAAAATTACCTAACTTTTAAACATGCTAAAACCGAAATACTTTTTCTGAGTTAAGTAATGTAAGTTAAGTAGTAATTTATATATAATAGATACTTACGTCTAACTTTGATCTTGAGTCTGGACTGTGTGGTGATGTAATGGACCAGTTCAGCATGCACTGCATCATCTACTCGGTAACCGTTCACGCTAACCACTTGATCACCGACCTGGAATCGACATCCAATACATTTAGTTACGTGGTTTATTTGAGTCAACGTAATTATTATAAGCTACAGCTATAACAAAGCTACAGCTTATGTTAGAAAACAAGTATAATATCCAAGAACAAAACAATATTTCTTACATGGTGCTACTTAATAAAATAGTTTAAAAAAAATTATTTGCCATTAAGATTACAAATATCACTTACGCGAGAAACTTATTACTGACATATGCAAATTATTACTACTCATCACGCGGGTAGTTTTTAGAAAATTCTGTTGAACCATTAATAGCCGAATATAAAGTACAAGCTCTGCCCGCGTTAGTTCGCGTGGAATAGTGACTTGGGGTAGAATTTATAATTATTTAGGCTGTTTAATAATTTATATAATTGCGCATTTATCGCAGCCAATCTATGTTGTAAGTGCTACTTTGCCGCAACACTGAGAGTGTCATATCCTCACATCACTCCTACTCTAACTCCCACTCCCACTCTCACTCCTACCCCCACTCCCACTCCTATTCCCAAAAAGCCAAAGAAGAAAGTTTTATTGTTCTAGCTTTAGAAACCACGAATTTCCATACAAACTTTCACCCCACCTTATAACCCCTTACAACCCCCTTTTCGCAAGAAAAAGCATGTTCTTTCTCAGGGTCTAAACCATCTGTGTACCAAATTTCATTTAAATCCGTTTAACCGTTTTGGCGTGAAAGAGTATCAGACAGACAGATAGACAGACAGACTTAGTTACTTTCGCATTTATAATATTAGTAAGGATTTAAAGAATTCAATGACATGGTCAGGATACGAAACCACGACCATAACTTTCTGGGCTAACTCAATTGAGCCACTGTGACTGTATCGCAAGTTATGATCGAATTTGTTTTAATGTATATTTTATATAGTACATTGTAATAATTTTAAATTAAATAAATGATTGGTTAAATCTAAGACCCGTTGATATTATGTGTATATTTATTTTATTTAAAAGTGAGGATTAAACTAAACGTTCAAGAAATTCAAACAATTTGTAAAACCATGATAAATTTTTTAACCATACATTTGGCTATTTATTAAGGGTGAATATGTGACTATAAATAAATAACACTATACAGTGGCAACATATAAATAAATGATTATTCTTCAGACTCCAAAATAATAACTCACCCAACCATATAAAGCAAGCTCTTTATGACTTAACGCTTAAAGAGCGGATAACAAGGTCGTCTTATGATTTGAGAGGTAACTGAAAGTAATAAAACGTAACGAAGAGATGTATCTCATCACTAAACTTTATCTCAATGAGTGACGTCACAACACACGCAACCACGTTTCGAAGCAATGACAAAACCACTTTCTTCGCGTTCTTGGACGTACAGAGAAGCCGGACGGATCGCTCGTGGCCCAGATATTGAACAACTTTCGTTCAGACTTTCGTACCGCCTCGATTTTTTAGGGATCCGCGTTCAGTCAATTACAAGGCATTTTCCACAAGCATTATTGAAAAGCATATGATATTGACGCCCTAATGTTTTGAGGAAATTTACCCTATTAGTTTACTTCTCGGAGAAAATTAGATCTTTCGTGAACGTCACGAGCAAATAACACTAATTATACAATAATAAGTTTTATCTTACACTAACTGTTGTAAGGACAATCATTATTAGATATCCCTTCTTATTGTTCTTTAATTTAGCTTTAAATTTAAAAAAAAATATGTTACGATGTATATTTGCATCATTTCACATTTCTCATTGATAAATAAAGAAATTGCTTGATATTATTGACACCACTTTTTTGTCTTGGCTGTAAGTCATTGATAATAATGATAACATAACCAATATCAAGCAAGATTAGACTGGCTTCTTCAAAGATTATAGACTGTCTTCATTTTTGAACGAAACGTATTGGTATTCACGTATTCACGTTCGTGGTCTGCTAGCACAGAGTCGCGCTTGACCAATATTGAAATTCAAGAGACCAGACTCCATGGCTCGACTGTTCTTTTATAACCTGTTCTGTAATTTACGTGACGGCTCGTAATTACATTTTGGGATTTACATTTTAATTGTTGTGCCATACTTCTCAATCCACTCGAATGTTATATGATTCCATAGATATTGGAATAGTCTGATATATACATATTTCAATACTGTCTATAGTTTACGCGACTATTACACATTTAAATAAAACACTTTGATGGTTTAAAACGCGATATATTACTGACCCGATTATTATTATAGGCCCGACGTTACGTTTCGTTTCGCTTTGCTTTCGGGCCGAAGTTAAAAATCATTTTCAAATAAGTTTAACTATTATATCGCGTTTTAAACCATCAAAGTGATTTATTTAAATATCCATATTTATATAGGTTTTAGTTACAGCTGATAAGAGGTGAAACTTTGTCTCTAGTAGGTAGGCTTCTTGAGTATTCGCACAAAAAAGAAATGATTTTTCATTTTTAGATCATTTTTAAAATGAATTCAACTATTATTTTAAGCCCGTTCTCGTTTATTTCAACTAAATATTTAAATTTGGTTAACAATTAGTAAAACTAGTTATCTATATAATATTGTTACCTAATCAAAATAATTTAAATAGACATTTTGTAAGTTAATAAAAGATAGAAATTACAAGAATTCTACTCCACGGTAGGTCGGTAAAAACTACCTGTTGAGGGGAAAGAAGATAATAATATAGATCCGCCGTCTTAGAAAATTGTCGAGATTTAAGTGTGGACTTCCTTCAAATTGCAATAATTGTATGTCTTATGAACACGAGAAAAGTGTGCCGCTTTGTTATGTAAATAGTTAATAGTTGTAAGTTATATATCACTTATTATCGTTAATATACTTCGCAACCATTTCAATACACGCAATGTATACAAGCAGTTTCTTTTACGAGTTGTAAACATGCAGCATACGGTTTCATTAATCAGATACTAAATAGTTAGCTTCACCTGTTTATAATATGTTCCTATATCCGTGTTGCAATGGTTAATGTTTCGATTCTTTTAAGACGTGCATGCCGTTTTGGAACAAACTATTTATTCATTTTATTATAGCTTTATTATTTATAACCAATACAGGAAAAATACATGAAAAGAGAAATCGCTAAACAGCCACCCCCCCACACTAAATTTTAAATGATAAATGCACAAAAAGCTTTTCATAAAAATAAATTCAAATTAAAACCATTAACAATTTTGTTTTGCGTGCACAGCTTTATAGTAAGAGAAAGTCTCATAGTAATATATTTTATTTTACTGTATACATAAGTAGCATACTGTTTGACGTACATGAATAAACAATAATTATAAAAATATTAAACATATATTTTCGCAAGCACCTGAATAAATATTACCTAGTATCGTTTTAAGTAGACATCACATATGATTCATAAGACAAATTAAAAAAATATTACAAATGATAACATACCGTGCTGTATTTATAACTTTTTTATACAGAATACGGAAAAAATACAAATAATACGAATACTGTAAAGAAGAAGGAGGTAATAAATGGGTTTGTAGGTATAAATATTTTAACCCAGCATTTTGCAAAAAATAACGTAATAGTGTAGATAAAATGCGTTGACATAATCTAAATTATTTAACACAAAATGTGAGGTCAAGTTCAATAATTAATTACGGTTGACTGTTTATGAAAAGACGTCGTTCTTCTTAGCTACTCGTTTCCCGTCACGATGCGTCTGCCTTTTATAAACTGGTTTGTATTTAACTTAGAAATCAAGCGCTTCAACAGCCACCTGTTGGAATATTCCCTAAAGCTATATTACAAGATTCAATGATGTTTTAAAATCTATACTTATAAAGCTGAAGAGTTTGTTTGTTTGAACACGCTTATCTCAGAAACTAGTGGTTCGAATTAAAATGTTTTTTTTTTTGTGCTGGATAAGCCATTTATCGAGAAACGTTTTAGGCTATTTAAAATCACGCTGCGATGAATAGGGGCGTATGAAATGAAGAAAGAATAATTTCTCTTTCAATGATTTTGCAGAATAGTCGGTTGTAAAAACATGAAATCTTAGAAATTTTAAATATAATAGTACCTACTAATTTTTAAACATAATAAGCCTTCTCCATATTTCCTATTATTTTTCTTTATTTCGTAGATTAATTTACTTCTTTCCGCCTGTTGCAAATAAAAGCTTTAATTTTTGTTGTCTATATATTATATGTGCTAGAATTCAAACAATTAAACAGTCTAGTTTACCAACCACCGCACCAGAAGCAGTTACATTTTACATCAACGATATGTTCTGTTTTACTTCCTCAATAACTCTAATTACAAAATATTAGAACGCGCTCTTACATAAAGGAAGTAAATAATACATCTAAAGTGTTGCACTACTAAATGAGTGATTAGCTAAGCTCGAGTAAATTAAACTTCCCAAGATTTCGTGTCTCAATTCTCACATCGCTTCCATTGTATTACTTTAACACTTACGAAATTTCATAACTTCTTTGTGAAGGAAGTACCTAACTGTGCGAAAAAAATACTCGTAATAACAACATTTGAGAGTGAATGAGTTCTGTGCTGTGAAGTTTTACTTATTTGCGCCTAATGTAATTATGATTTTTAATTTTTTTAATAAATTAATAGCTTAAGTATTAACCATAGTTTATCTTCAAGAAACGTAGTGCTGTATGTAGTGTAGTTTACGAAAATGGTACACATAAAAACACTTTCTAAGTAAATACTGTCTATAGTTTACGCGAGTAGTACACATTTAAATAAAACAAAGCGGAAGCTTTGCGCAAAGCATCCGAAACGTCGGGCCGAAGTTAAAAATCAGTTTCAAATAAGTTTAACTAATGTATCTTGTTTTAAACCGTTAAAGTGTTTTATTTAAAAGTTAAAAAATAGTTCGCCAAACGCGGGTGTCACCACGCCTCTTATTCGAACGTTCTAACTAGTTGTGTCAGCGACTTCGTCCGCGCAGAATAGTTATTTTGGCTATCGAAATTTGTTTTTGCAAACCTCCTCTTCATCTTTATATATTTAAGCTGTTATCTACGACGTCGGTCGCGTCTCGTCGTTCTAGCCAGTGAATATAAAGATGAATATTTCCCGTTTTTCCCACAATTTCCGCTTCCGTTTCTTCGCTCCTATTAGACATAGCGCGAAATTTAAGAGACTAAAGCCCTCCTCAATAAATATTGTTACTAACACAAAAATATTTTTTCAATTTGAACCAGTAGTTCCTGAGATTAGCTACAGCTTTTTATAATAGTATAGATTTCTAAATACATTATTAAACATTTATCTGACCCAGGTTTTAAACCCTGGACCTCGTGGGCACAAAGCAGTTATTACTATTGCATCACTCTAAATTATCCACGAAGGTAACGATGAACTAAGAGTTCGCGTGCACAAAAGTGATTTATGATAATATTTAGCCAACACAATAAAGGTAAAATCGCGATGCGAACGAAAGATAACGAAATTATTGTTCATACGACCTACAAAAACCGTAAGCCAGAAGCCAGTACCTTAACAATGTGACAAAACTTGGTCTAGGGAACAATTGAGCAAGCCGTTACGTAACGTAACTAAGAATTTCATTGCCACTAAATTCAGTAATTATTGCGGCATACTTGTTATCGCTCTGGTTAGCTTTCGATGTTTTGGTAACAAGTACTAACACTTAGTTATTACAACTACAGATAGAGATTCCTATAAAACAATAGATACATTAAAATATAAAAAAAAACCAATTCAAGCTTAATTTTGTGGGCGTTAGGTTAATTTTTTGGGGCATTGGAGTTTTCGTCTTTGTTTAATGATTTAGATATAAATAGTATGAATTAAAAACTATCTATAGTTTACCCGAGTGGTACACATTTAGATAAAACATTTTAACTGTTTAAAATTTATTATTTTAACTCGTGACGGCTGCTGCAAAGGATCTAAATCGTCAGGCCGTAGTTAAAATATTAATTAATTTTGACATAAGTTTAACTAATATATTTCGCGTTTTAAACCGTTAAAGTGTATTATTTAAATAGTTTGTTATATTGCAATACTTCTTTAATTACGGTCATTTACCTTCAAGCCTTGAAGATGTGCTTCAGAGCTGTGTTCTACTTTGGAAACGAAGAAGCCAGTAGCGTACTCTTTGCCCCCTCGCAGGGAAAAGCCGAAAGCTGGTGCTGCTCTGCGCGGGCGCAGTAACCGGATGACCCGGATGCGTCTCTCCGCTGCCCCGGAGAGGTCCCCGCGAGAACCGGACGTCGGCGTCGTGGACGCAGTTGATGTCGCGTACATCGCCACTTCTGAAATATTTTTTTTATTATTAAAATATATTTGTGCAATAATGTATGCTGGTAAATCGGAATGTTATGCGGATGGCACACATCAATGATAAAACTTTTAAACGGATTTAAATAAGTTAATGAACCACTGGAATCGCACTTGATATTAGATCGCGTTTAAAAGAGTTTTTAAAGAATATATTTTGAACATTCTAAATTACATATACATTTTGAAGACTATTTCTTCTACTTATTACAATTGAATCGTTATTCGCTTGTTATTTAAATAAAGAATATTCAAGCAACGCTGTTACTTGAATGTAAGCTTTTAAAAACAACATTAATCCCCTAGATAATGCCAGTTTTTGACCTCGAATGAAAGAGTTCAACGCGCTTGCGGTTTTTATATTAACGTGGTACTTTATTGACTGTATTTTCAAACTAAATACGTTTAAAAAGTTATTTCTTATAGTTATATCCACAGTTAAGATGGATAGACATATTAACTGTTAACTTCGTAAGCTTATAAGTAAATTGGTAGCTGATAACCAATAAGTGTGGGTTCGATTCTCAACTGAATCAGCATGTTATTTTCCTTGAGATTTTTCCAAAGTAGCCACAATAAGTCGACAATGCATCTTAGTTATACGTTTAAAGTCTAAGACACCTTTTAAAAAGTGGACCCTATTGTCTGTCGTCTTCTATTATAAAAAAAAATTAATGTTCATTTCCATTTCAATTCCTGTTAATTTGATGTTAAAGTCGTTGACTAAAATCGTTTACGTTTAGTGATACCTACTATTCGTTACTAATCGCCGCATTTCGTTATGTTTATACGAGCACGGTAAACGGTATTATATCCGGAATTAACCTTAAATCAGAAGCCATGCAACTGACCGACCCGTTACGGTTTTTATTAGCGTCCGCCGTTTTATATTGTGAATTGTGATCAAGTCCTTTTGATATAAAATATTCATTTGAAGATTCCTAATTTTTCCACGTTTAGCTCCATTTCTAGCAAGTATTGTTTGATTGCATCACGAACGTGGCTCAGTGGTAAAACTTTCAGTATTAAAAAAAATTAGGATTTGGTTTTTGATTATGGTTAGTTTGTTTTCAATCAGACTGTTACAGAGCAATGCAAGTGCTACAGTTAATATTAAATAATGTTTCGTAGTTGTCTGCAGTTTATTCTCTAATGTTTTCCTAAAGTTCATTTGTAATAAACTGCTTACCAATTAAATACATACGTAATATTTGTACACATACACATTTAATTTAAATACTTTTAACAGTTGAAATACGAAATATATACCTATTAAGTAACTTATTTTTTATTTCACCATTGACTACGATTGCTGCAAATCATCTGAAATATGGCAGTGAAATTAAAATTAATTGAACATATTTTACCTAAAACATTTTGCATTTTAAACCGTTAAAATAGATGGGTCAGATTACATGATCTATTCAATTACAGATATGAATATAAACGGACCATCCCATATGTGGTGATAATGTATAATTCATCTCGCTGCTATAACCGTTTCTATTGCGTTATTTGCGAAACACGTTTGCGGAAGGTTGCCCTAATAAGAAGAATTACATAAGGATAAGTCGGCCTGGTATTCACAACGGTTCATTTTAACTGTTCCTGGGGTTTGGCCATGTTAGCAATGACGAAACAAACGCGATTCTAACAACTTATACACTTCGTTGTATTTAACATTTTTATTTTTTCCGTTTCTATTTTTAATTACAGCCTGTAGTTTGCAAGAAGCATATTTCGGAATACGCGTTCTTCCTATTTTAAAATAACAACCTGTAGTTTGGAAGAACGCGACTTAGGAATACATCTTCTTGGTTATCAGCACTGATTTAATTGGGATAGTCGTTAAAGCTCACCTGCATTAGATCAGCGTGGTGGGCTCACCCACCATGCTGATCTAATGCCCATCTCTCTTATCTTCTGCTGAATTCTTTAATTTTCTCTTCTTTAAAACAAGAAGGCTTTTTTTTTTTTTTTTTTTAACTTTGGTTCTAATTTGGTTGAAAATGATACAGTAAAGTTTTAGGAACTTCGTGGTTGTTGCTATTTGATACAAACTATCCACGAAGTTCCTTTAAGCGCTAGGTTCTTCGTGGATAGTTTGTATCAACAAGAAGGCTGTCCAGTGGCGGGAATTAGGTAGGTGAAACCGTCTGAAAGTTTCGTTTGAAACATTGGGTTGTTATGACAGTATGGGTTTAGCTAATTTAAGCTGCACCTATAAACTATTGTTTTCCAGTATTTCCTTGACATTACAATGAACTATTGACTGTGAAAGGTCAGGTGAGCGTCATTGTCCTGATGCCATGTTAAAATATTTGTAGACTTTTAGGAGTTTCTGAAGTAGTAATAAAAAAAAAACATTTATTTTCATACATTTCATTTAATATATGACTTCAAATTAAACATAGGTAGGTAGGTCACTTACAATACTATATATCAATCTTGTCAATATTATATATTTTTTACTATAAAATTTAATTTATGATTCGATGGAACCTTAACATATGTATTCTAGGAAGAACTTAAAGTACTTTACACTGATACTCAAGCCTGGCTTAGGCACTTTGTGATTTGAAAAGAGTAAAACATAAGGTCGTGATGTAGACGTGCAAGGAGAGGGCAAGAGTGCAGCTCCTCTGTGGAGTAGTGCAATGACCTCGCCTGCGTCTGCGCCAGGCCAGCAACAGCTCGTTTCTGCACTAATGTTTCATCCATTGACACATTGTTGGGTATTTATAGGATCATCCCAGTATGCACTATGAGTATGAAAAACGAGAACACTGACGGCTCTTAATGAACCTTTTAGGTTTGTTATATATATTTAAAACAGTTATAAATATCAGACAACACTGAAGAAGGCAAATACATATAAATAAAAACTATAGTTCTATTTTTAAATAGGATTATTTTTTAGTTTTTATATACAAGTATTGTATCGTACCCCTGTGACCACGGCTGGTTTGAAAATGAAAACTCCCAAAATGACAAATCGTTAAAAACTAATTGACTTATATAGTTCGCATTTTAAATATGTTGTAAACCGTTAAAAATGTTTGATTACATATACATGTAACAATCATACGATCATACAAAAAATACGTATTATTGTGTATAAAATTAAAAATATCATCTTCAACAAATTATCTGTTTTATCTCTCGAGGCTTTAAAGTACTTGTTTGTTGACTAGGTCACAAGTGAGATAACGATCAAGACATTTTACGTCGGATTCTTATTACGGTAATTTGAACGATCAATTGTAAAATATCAGTTAACGTGCTCGAGAAAGTCTGATAGATAAGACACGAAACTGCACTTGACACACAATTCTTTGATTATCTAAGCATAACGAATTATGTGAACATAAAGACTTCCTTATAATAGTAGATAATGTATGATCTAAGAGAATGCTTATAGTACATGTTTTAAATTGATTATAGACTTCAATAAAATACTAACGGATTAAAACGCGAAAAATTAAAAAATATTTTAAATACGGCCCGACATTTCGGATTCTTTGCAGCAGCTTACTAACGTTGGTATTTTGATTGATTAACGATCGCATATTAAAGAGATACGCTTTCATTTCCTTGTAAATAAAACAAAACACAGTGAAGAATCATGACGACAAACAATTAATATATATGATAACATTGACACTTTTTTATTACAATATAGTTATATAAGTATAAGTATAAGTATGTGGTTTATATGAAGCAAATATTTAAGTTATTAGAGATTTAGCCACGAATAACTAGTTAGGTATTGCTTAAAGAATACATTAAAAGAAGGATCAATTGTAATACCATAAACAAGTTTACTAGGCCTTGGATTTAGGTGGAGTGGTCAGCTTGTTATATCTCGAGGTAGATATTTCTAACGTTGCTTAACTTGAAATCAGCCTCTTGAGTAAGTAGGTTTACTATTGTGAATATCGAGTGGTACACAGTTGGAGAACAAGAAATACCTATATAATTAAATAGCTTAACATCCTACTAATATTATAAACGTGAAAGTTTGTATGTGTGGATGGATGTTTGTTACTCTTTCACGCAAAAACTACTGAATGGATTTCAATTAAACTTTCCAATAATATAGCTTATACATCAGAATAACACATAGGCTACAATTTATAAAGATATTGTGTGACCTGTCCAGAATATGACATTAAGTGTCAAGTGCAATTCTGGTGTGCGCTGCCATTAACGTTAGTTACACATAATTATGTAATGTATGATATGATAGACATCATTTAGTTTAAATGCGCGATACTACGTAATCCTAATTTTAATCCTGCGTAGAAGTCGCGGGCACCAGCTAGTATAGAATATATAATAATAGAGTTCAGCTATGCAGAAGAGGTTAATATAGCTCAGATCGTTTTAGTAATATCAACTATAGTGCATTTATTCATACTTGGCATTATTGGAAAACAAACACACAATTTACATGAAATCGTGATTTTCTTCAAGGTTTAAGTATAAATAAAGTGTTTTATATATTTAACTAATTAACTACCTTAAATTACTACTACTTAGTAAAAATCTCAATTTCATGCTAAAATTAATAAGCATCCTAAAAATTAATTTACGTAAATGCGCAGACTAAAATTTCTAAAATTTTACATTAACATAAGTATGGGTTGTAAGCTAAGTCAACGATAATAGAAGGTAGAAGTCCCACTCATGCATGATCGCTGAAACGCGTTAAAACGTCGAGTTAAATAATAATTACATAAAAAATATCAACAATAAGTCGTTATTAAAGTGATTTTTAATAATAAGGTTGTTTGGCCCATAATATAATATTTCTTTAGTCCTATAGCACTTGTGGCAGTGACTACCCTCCCTATAGCTAAGGTTAAAATCGGCCATATTTGTTGTGGTTTTTTATCAATTTTGAAAAAAAATAACACTATAGTGAAACAAATTGTCAATTGACAAACACAATATTCCGCCACATTATATAACATAATATAAAACAGGTTGACGTTTTTTTTATTTAATTAATTATTTTAATTTGTATATAGGTTTCCCTTTCCGAAAAATTTTTACAGACTATACAAATATTTAAAGTTGAAGAGTTTGTTTGTTTGTTTGTTTGAACGTGCTAATCTCAGGAGCTACGGGTTCGAATTGAAAAAATATTTTTGTGTTGTTTAGATTATTTATCGATGAAGGCTATCTTTATTAAAACAATGCGCTGAGACTAATAGAAGCGAAGATACAGATGACGGGGTTTACAAAACTAATTTGGATGCCCAAAATAACGATTCTCGCGGACGAAGTCGCTGGGACAGCTTGTAAATAATAATAAATCTATGATTACGAAATATCTTTGCGCACACTCATGTATAACTCAGTCAAGCTCGTGTTTAATTCGGGTGCAATAAAATTGTACAAACCATGAAATCATCAATATTCGGAATCAAAAGTGAAAGTGTATTTGGTATTTGATAGCACAGCGAAAGAACGATAACAATATACACTGGTCACAATCACAAAAAAACATATGCCAATAATATCAAATTTATGTCATTCAATGAAATCAGTGAGCATTAGTAAAATAGATACGTTAATTTATCCTCTTAATCTTTCCATTAATTTCTAGACTCATTTTATTTTATATACTAGCTGTGCCATCGACTTCGTTCGCGTAGAATAGCTATTTTTGGCATCAACATTTGTTTTTGCAAACTCATCTTTATAAGCTTTAGCTGTTATCCATGACATCGGTCGCGTCCTTCGTGCATGTTAAGCTTCAAATATGGACATATAGTATCGCGAACATATTTCTAGATCATTTAAAAAATGATCATTGTTTCATACATATTTCTTGGTTCCCTTGAACCGTTTTCGCATCGTAGCCATCGGAAGCCCACAGAGATGAATAAATTCTCCCGTATTTTTCACATTTCTCGCTGTTTCTTCATTCCTATTAGTCGCAGAACGATGTTTTATAGCCTATAGCGATATAAAATAAATTTTTCAATTCAAACTAGTAGCCCCTGAGATTAGCGCGTTCAAACAATCTCTTCAGGTACAATTTACATGGTAAAAATTATTTTATAAAATCATGCAAACGTTATCAAATGGTACCTATATGTTAAATTCGGTTACAATCACGTTAGATAAAAAACTAAGCGGGCAACACCAGTATAGCGCAGGTGGTGCGCAGTGCAGCCTATTCAACCATGAATCCCCAGCCCAGGCTAACAACTGTTCCATGTGTTTTTTATTACTTTTTAGGAAGGTATTAGAAAGAAAGTGTAATTTTAACTTTAACTAACATATATCGTGTTTTAAACAGTTAAGGTATTTTATTTAAATATATTTAGATAACTAAATCACTACATGCATTGGTAACGAAAAAAAGACGAATATTTTCACACAATGAACAAACTGAAGATTGTTAATTATGTTCACGTTTGTCTAACCGCAACATACCATACGCTTTTCTTTAATTAATATAAATTAATAGCGAATATATAACGAAATTACTAGAAAGTATATTTTATAAACGTTACATTAAATGTATTACAATGTTAATAATCCACGATTAATAAATAATATTACTATCGAAATGCTTGCGAACTTACTTGATGATTTTTCAGAACTGCTGTAAAGCATTCGAAACGTCAGGTCGTATTTAAAAGTAATTTTACTAATACACTTCTCATTTAAAACCGTTAAAAATGTTTTATTCAATGTACCACAATACTTAGAATGACCGCTTCAACGATTTTTTAGTTTAAATTTCTACCTATTACTCTTATTTTGCATTAACATAAATATTTATAAATACACCCAAATAAATAAAAAACAAATGAATATCCCCATGTCCTATAATTAATTCGGATAAGCAACGGTCTACTGTACTGTAACCACACTATACTGGTATAAGTTACAATAGTTAACCAACAAGTTACGTCTTCCCTAGGGAAAAAATCGATACTCCTTGGATACGGAACGAAAACACAGCCGGTTACATTGAAGGGATTCCTAATTTCCGCCTAATACTGTGGTAGCATGACACCAACGAAACCCTTCGCGATCAAATTGCAACGATTGTTAAGTTATTAGAATCTTACGTTGTGAAATTTAATATGTGGGCACTGAACATTACATACAAATTTCATCTACGCACATTGAAAAGTAAATTTTATTGTTTGTATATGTTTTGTCTCGTTTTTAATTGAACTGAGCAATTCGCCATATCACCAATCAACATTCTATAGGTAAAATACAATTTTGTGTATAGTTAAACTTATTAAACCTTTAATACTCAAAAACCGGACTAACTAGTGTACGGAGTAGACCAGGATGAAAGAGATTAGGCGTTCGGCCTATTCTTCTATTTTATTCGGCCGAATACCGAATATCTGAAATCTATTCGACAGCATACAGAATATTTAAGTTATATATTTGTTATAGTCGCTCGATGACTGATAGAAAAACAAATAAATCTATATTTTTTCTCTTAGAATTAAGTAATCGATTGGCATCCTAAAAAAAAAAAATAAAGTTCTGTGTAAAACCGGTTACGATTGTAATATGTATTTAAATTAATATATAATTTAGAAGGGGAAGGTTATGGTGCAGAAAGACTGAGTTTAGCTCAACATGCAGTTGCATTAAACAAATGATGGCCTGCGGGTCGATGAGATCATTAAACAAATAACTGTTTAAATTTTGGAACTAAAATCTGACCGAATAGT